TAAACCAAGCATTCCCATCCCCAGCATCCAGTTAAACCAAGCATTCCTGTCCCCAGCATCCAGTTAAACCAAGCATTCCCGTCCCCAGCCCTCCCGGAGCTCTCCATCCCCTGGACCAGCACCATTCCCATGCCTGGCTGTCCCGGAGCTCTCCATCCCCGGGATCGTTCCCGTTCTCATTCCCAGAGCACTCTGCCCCCAGGACCGTTCCCATTCCCGGAGCTCTCCATCCCCGTTCCCATTCCCGGAGCTCTCCATCCCCGTTCCCATTCCCGGAGCTCTCCATCCCCGTTCCTCTTCCCGGAGCTCTCCATCCCCCTTCCCGGAGCTCTCCATCCCCATCCCCCTTCCCGGAGCTCTCCATCCCCGTTCCCGTTCCCGGAGCTCTCCATCCCCGTTCCCGGAGCTCTCCATCCCCGTTCCCGGAGCTCTCCATCCCCGTTCCCGGAGCTCTCCATCCCCGTTCCCGGAGCTCTCCATCCCCGTTCCCGCAGCTCTCCATCCCCGTTCCCGTTCCCGCAGCTCTCCGTTCCCACTCCCACGGCCGGATCTCTCCATTCCCGTTCCCGTTCCCATTCCCGCAGCTCTCCATTCCCATTCCCGCAGCTCTCCATTCCCATCCCCATTCCCACGGCCGGAGCTCTCCATTCCCGTTCCCGTTCCCATTCCCGCAGCTCTCCATTCCCATCCCCGTTCCCACGGCCGGAGCTCTCCATTCCCATTCCCGTTCCCGTTCCCGCAGCTCTCCATTCCCATCCCCGTTCCCACGGCCGGAGCTCTCCATTCCCGTTCCCGTTCCCATTCCCGGAGCTCTCCATTCCCATCCCCATTCCCACAGCCGGAGCTCTCCGCCCCCGGGGCCGCCCCTCCCGGCGCAGGCGCGGGGCCCGCCCGCCGCCGCAGCCCCGCGGGCGGCAGAGCGATCGCGGCCGCGGGCAGGGCCGAGCTGCGGGCACCGGCACGGCGGTGAGCGGCAGGGCGGGCGGGCGGAGGGAGGGAAGGAAGGAAGGATGGAGGGAGGGAGGGAGGCGCCTGCCCGCCGCGGTGCCGCCCGGCCGGGCCGAGGGCAGAGCCGGGCGCTGCGCGGCCCCGCCGCGGGCTCACCTGGCCGGGTCCCGCGGGAAGCGGAAGAAGGCCAGGTCGGACTGGGTGCTCTTGCGGGTGCAGTTGGGCGCGGCGCAGAAGTTCGGCATGGTGGCCGCTGCCCCTTTAAAGGCGCGCAGGGCGGGCGGGCCGGAGGGGCCGCGGCGGCTCCACAGTGCTGTGAGCGGCCCGGAGGAGTCAGCGCCGCGCCGGGGCCGCCTCCTTCCCACAGTGCCCCGCGCCGCGGGCACCGCGCCGCGCCCGCGCCTGCGCTCGACGGGCCGCTGCCGGGCCCCCTGCGCATGCGCGGCGGAACCGCGCTGTGTTCCGGGGTGTGTGCCCTCAGACCGGAGTAAGGCCGGGTCGGGTCCGCACAGCGCTCCGGCGGCGTTTGCCCCTCTTTCACACCCAGAATCGCGGGATCACTGGGCTTGGAAAAGACCTCTGAGGCCATCGAGTCCGACCCGTGACCAAAACACCTCCCTGTCCACTGAACTGTGCCACTGAGCACCACGGAATCATGGAATCAACCGGGTCGGAAGAGGCCTCCGAGGTCATCGAGTTCAACCCTTGGTCCAGCCCCGCCGTGGTTCCCAGACCGTGGCCAGTCTCATCTTAAAAACCTCCAGGGACAGCAAATCCACCACCTCCCCGGGCAGCCCATTCCAATATCAGTGTCCTCACAAATCCACCACTTCCCCGGGCAGCCCATTCCAATGTCAGTGTCCACACAAATCCACCACCTCCCCAGGCAGCCCATTCCAATGTCAGTGTCCTCACAAATCCACCACTTCCCTGGGCAGCCCATTCCAGTGTCAATGTCCTCACAAATCCACCACCTCCCCGGGCAGCCCATTCCAATGTCAATGTCCACGTCCAGGCTTTGCTTAAATACCCCCGGGGGTGTTTGTGTTCCATTATTATTATTATCATCTGTAGTAACACTGAAAATATGCAGTGTAATAATAATAAAAATAAGTGGCGTAAAACTAAATATATGGTGTAATAATACTGAAAATATAGCGTAAAGCAACTCGTTCTATGTGCTTCTGGGCATGAGCTGCCTGTCTCCTTCCCAGGATGCCTCTATTGTCTGAGTGCCCTGTTGAAGTGTGACAGTGCACTCCTGCACATTTCCCTCCATTAAACATTTGTTCCCAAGAGAATATCTGAGGTCTGAAATGCTTTCCTGGCTGTTTTCACTGTGACATTCCCTTGCAAGCCTCACAGCCCCGTTGTTGTTGGGATAACCCATGTGTCAGAACTAAATGGACACCGGGTTAATCCCACACAGCCAGTTTTCAGGGTTTGTATCCCAGCTCCTCCCTCAAGGTTCACTTAAATTAAAGTTAATGGCATCTACAACAACATCAGGAGTTTATCAGACCCAATTCCCGTTGCATTTTCCCAGTTTCACTGGAATCTTTGTATGGTTCCGATTCAAAGAATGATGGTTTCCGTAGGTTTTCCATCAGGTTTCACTCTGAAACGGTCACATCACCATGAAGGGGTCAAGAGTGAGAGGGTCTGAGCCATCTTTTCTTTCCCCTGATTGCTCGCCCCAGCCCGGGGTTGTCTTTATTTGTCTGAACAAGCCTTGCTAATTAATCCCCAGTGTTGAGATCCTCGAGCACAGGAACTTTTGCCCAAAGCTGCCCTGGGAACTGCTCAGTGACAGCAATATCAGCCTCTCTGCTTTGCAGATGCTTTCGTTTCCCATTGCTGTTTTCACCCTGCAACAATGCTGTAAGTTTACTTAAACTCTCACTTGCAAGGTGTTCCAGGACCGGTGTAATTTCTGGTATTTACATTAGGATTTTTTATGTTTCCAATCATTAACATTCTCTCGCTCCCCCAGCACCTATAGCACAACAAGCCTTGTGAAAATGATTGGTCAAAATCAGGAGCAAGGAATTTGCTGGGGAGTTGATTTGGGCTTAAAAGCAACAGACAGTCTGTTGGTGGGTTAAAAGTGCAGCTTGAGAGAGAAGGTGCCAGCTGCCCTAAAATCCCAGGCAAATCAGGTCCCAGAAGGGCTGAATTCTGCCAGTTGCTGGTCTGGGACACGTTCTTTGAGTGGCAGGAGTTTGTCAGAGATACCCAGGGTTTGTAGTGTGGCCACAGATAAGGACTGAAGTGGCTCAGAGGAGCGATAACATTAATATTTCCCCTTATCCTGAGGCTTCCTATCCCGAGGAGTGGCTTTGCTTCCTTCCCAGCCGGTTTACGTGTTCCTTGCCAACACAGCACACCACAGAGGGTGGAGGTTTGCATCTGCCTCCCCAGATTGCAGGGGGTACCAGCTTTAATTCCCCTGATATGCTGCAGAATGACACAAGGAAGGGATTTTTGTCATTATCCAAGGTTACATAATCGAGATTTTGCCTCGGTGTAGGAAAGTATTTAAATAGATGCTCAACTGGATACACTCTGGCATTTTGATGTCTTTTTGAGCCTTGCTGAATTTAGACACTTTGAGCTCAGAAGCTGTTAGGAGTTGTAAAATAGATTTGTTTGTTGAATATAATACATATTATAATAGAAGGGGGGGGAAATATCTATTGACTGGCAGCACAAAGCTATCTCTAGTGAAAGCAGCTCACATATCCGTGTGGATTTAAATGCAAATAGACCCGGGTGACAATCTCCGCCTGACAAGGCTGTGTGTAAAAGGCTCCTCTGGCAAGGTGCCAGTGCCCGAACATTGCTGAGGCCCCTGCTCTGTTCTGAGCCGAGGAGGGGGAAAAATGGGATGGGAGGGCGATGAGGAAGAGGGGATTTAAGGAGCGGTGTGAGGGCAACGGAATGAAGTTAATAAAATAGAGATGCTTGTGCCAGGAGGACATCTCGAGTCACTGACCAGCCTGTCGAGATTTACCGCGCTGTGAGGACAACAGGGAACAGCCAGGGAGAAAGTGTCCATCAGGAACAGCCAGGGAGAAAGTGTCCATCAGGAACAGCCAGGGAGAAGGTGTCCATCAGGAACAGCCAGGGAGAAGGTGTCCACCAGCGAGAGCCGGGGGGCCCTGGGGAGGTTTTCCAGCCGTTTCTTGCAGGCGTTTTCACGGATGGGATTTTTTTAAATTTTTTTTTTTTATAACACTTCCTCGCTGCAACAATTCTGTGCAGTCGCGAATCGGGCGCGTTGGTTTCCAGCTGCACCCCGGAGGCAGTTTATTTTCTATTTCTAGTCTGGACTGAGGGCTTTTAAATAGATACGGTTTACTGTTTGTTTTTGTTTTTTTTTTCCGTGGAAATGCGCAGGAAAGCAAGTGCTGCTGGCTGTGAGATGCAGCAGAGGGCCGGCGGGGGGGTCCTGGGGCAGCGCTGGGAGGGGGCCGGAGGTGCGGGATCCGTTCCCTTTGTTGTTCGCTCACACGCGGTTCGCCGCAGCCCCGCGCGCCCCCGCCGCCGCCGCTTTTAACTCAGGAAGCTGGAAGCGACCAATAGCCGCCCGGGGGTTTTGCTCCAGGAGCGGCGGTGGGATGTCAATCCCTGAAATTTTGGATTCTGGGGCGAGCGGGAGCGCCTGGAGCGCGCCGCGCGCACCGGCCCGCGCAGAGGACACGCGTGGTGTTTTGTCCGCTCCGGAGGCCCGTAGCCGCCCGCCGGGGCCATGGCGGGACGGTCGGCGCCGCTTCGGGAGACACCGAGAGAACTACAGCTCCCGGCGTGCTCCGCGCCGCCGCGCACGCGCTCCGCGCCATCTTGGCACCCGCTCCTGCCATCTCCTCGCTGTCGCGGGGCGGCGGAGACTACAACTCCCGGCGTGCCCCGCGGCGCGCCCGCATGCGCAGCGCGCCGCTGCGCCATCTTGGCTCGGGGAAGCGCCGCCGCCGCCGCCACCAAACAAACCGGAGCGCGGCCCCGGGAACGGGAGCGCGGGGTCCTGCCGCCGCCGCGCCTCCCATGAGCCGGGCACGGCCGGCCAGGTGGGTCCCGCGCCCCGCAGTGCTCCGCCGCGGGGGCACGGGGAGCTGCGCTCCCCCGGACGGCGCGGACCCGCCGCCCCCCCCGAGCCCGGGGCAGCGCCCCGTCCGCGCCCGGCGCGGGCAGCAGCGCCCGCTCCCCCCTCCCTCCCTCCCTCCCTGCATGCTTCCACCGAGCCCGGCGGGGCACAGCGCCCAGGGGCCGGGGAGGGCGGGCGGGGAGTGCCCGGGAGGCGCCCTGGTGGGAGACCGACACTCCCCCCCTCCGTCCGTCCGTCCGTCCGTCCGTCCGTCCAGCCCCGCGCTCGGAGCCGCGGCGGCGCCCGGCCTTTTGTTCCCGGTGCCACCCCCTCCGCCCCCCGCCGTGCCGAGCCCCCGGCTCCTCTCTTCCCCTCTGTTCCCTCCGGTGCAGCGGGAGGCGCTCCCGCCCCGCCGCCCCCGGTCCGCGATGCCGCGGTCGGTCTGTCGGTCGGTCTGTCGGTCGGTCGGTGTTTTCTGGGGGGAAGGGGCTGGCGTTGGTGCGCGGATTCTCACGGTGTTTTTGCCACGCTGCCGTATAATGGGCTGGTGCAAAATGCGTGCCCCGGGGGGAAGGGGAGCGTGCGGGAGAGTTCCCGCAGTAGGTGCTTGTGCATAACGAGAGGGAGGAGGCTGAGCGGGGATCCCGGGAGCGGCGGCGCCCGGCGGGGGAGAGCCTCGAGGAGGAGGAGGAGGAGGAGGAGGCGGGGAACTCGGTGAAAAGGCTTGGGCGATGATCTGAGCGAGAGGGTGTAGGAAGTCCGTACCCTCGGGAAACCGCCGGATTCCTGCGGGCCATTGCGAAGGATGGGGCGAGCGTGTCCTGGAGTCGGGAGCGGGCTGAGAGGAGCCCGCGTTCATCGGCTTGGGAAATCGATACATTACGGACTTGGGCTCTCAGCGTCTCTGTTCCTTTTCCAGCGAGGCTGAGCTGTGTGGGAGCACGGACGCGAGGGAAGGATGCCTGTGGTGTGGCCGACCCTGCTGGACCTCAGCAGGGATGAGTGCAAGAGGATCCTGCGCAAACTGGGTACAGTAAGATGCAGTTTGTGGCTCTGTGTGTTTGCCCTTCTGGCATTTGCCTGCCTGCCGCTTCCATGGAATAATATATCCACAGTAGTGTCCTGCATCTTCCACGTGTCATTGGTTTGACAGCCCTGGCTCAAAATGTTAAAGTGAGGTTTGCTAGATACTCTCAGCCCCAGCAAAGTGAATGGAGGGGAGTGGTTGTGGTGTGGTCCAGTCTCTCGGGGATGTCCTGGTTGCAGTGTTGCACTGCTGGGGGTTTTTTTGCCACTGTTATCACGCAACAAGATGCTCTGCGAGAGGAGAGTCTTTGGGGTTCTTTTTTGTTTTGTTTCCCCCCCCCCTTCCCCCAGTTCTGCGTTTAGACAGCTTTTTGTACCCCAAAAATATATCGTGGAACCCTGGCTTAACTGTAGGACTGAATTCAAGTGTTAAAGTTACTACTGTGAAGACTTAAAACAGGGGGGGAAAGATGTGGTGCTGGTTTGTGACCTGCAGTGACACACGTCAGGGCAGGGGAAGAACCATGTCCTGGCTCCGCTGCCACAGCCACAGGGGCTCTTTGCATTGTTTCAAATGCAGCTCAGTGTCTGAGCCCCCTGCCCAAGGCATGGGTACTGGGAGATGGTTTTGTGCTCTGCCCTCGTGGGTCTGTGTGTATGAGGAGAGATGCTTTTGTATTTTGTAAAGTTGTAAAAACGTTTGCTCTTTCCTCAAGCATCCTCTTTTGGCTGGCACAGGAGAGAGAATCCTTTGTTAGACCTTTGATCTGATTCAGAACGGTTGGTTTTGAGTTCTTGGGGCTGAGTTTATTTAATTAAGGGGGTTTCTTGCCAGTTAAATGATGCATAATACTAGAAGGGAAGAAAAAAGCCTTAGACTTCTTTTGAGACTTTGCTCTGAGGACCATGATGTTGGAGATGATGTCAGGAAGAAAGCTGAGCTCCCTCTGACTTCCTGTGACCATCAAGTGACAGCTTTTCCTGTTCTCATTTTGCTTGAATGCTCAGAGATGATGTGCTGTATTTCCTAGCTGTGCCAAGGTTCCCACACGTTGTGAAGCCATCCACTTCATGTTTTGAGAGTTGAGAGTTTACTTTCCCTCCCTTTGCCCTTTTAATTTCATTCCTTGGCAATGTGGGATGTGTATTCTGTTGAAAGGGTGGCACAGATGTCGCACCCGACCCTGCAATAAGAGGGGCACCTCTTAAGGTGACAGCCCTGAGCCTCAAGCAAGGCTTCAGAAGTACAGAAACGAGGAGCAGGCGCAGGTTGCCAAAGGCTTTGTGCCGGATGTGCACTCCTGAGTTTTGTGACCGGAGCTGTGCTGGCCGGGAGCGCGGAAAAACCCTCCCCCCGAGCTGCCGGGTGTGCTGGCACAGCCCTGCCCTACAGCTGAGCCAAGCAGGGCTGCAGCTACACCTCCCTCACTGACAGAACCTGGGCCCACAGGAAGGGGAAAAAAATTTAAAAAAAGAATCCCTTTTTTTTTTGTTCTGCTGGCACGAGCCGTGTCCCCACGAGGGGGCCCTGCCGGCGGGGCAGGGCTGAGGCAGAGCAGAGCAGCTCTCCCTGCAGACAGGCTGCAGGGCCCTGACCCCCACATCCAGCAACATCCATCTGCTTCCCAGAGCCCTGCTCTCCCAGCTCCCAGCACGACATCCCACTGGGCTGATGGCTCAGCAGCAGCAGGGTGACTCCAGCAGGAGTCAAGTAGGTGAGGCTGGGACACATCCCGAGGTGTGTGGTACCTGCTGCTGCTCCTGGGTGTCACTGAGCTGGGTGATGGTGGCACCTCCCACTGGAAATAATGGTATTTCTTTGGGAAACCTGTTTTGGCTGGGTTTTGATGTGTTCTGTGTTGGAAAGAGAGCGCCCCAGTTAGTGATTGCTGCACAGACACGAGCTGGTTACAGCTCTCTGTAATCTTCACTACCTTCCAAAAGACCAGAATGTGTATTTTTAAAGCTCTGGTGTAGAGGATCTCTATTTATAATGCAGAAGGGAAAAAAAAAAAGTCTATCCTTACTAAATAATTATATGGTCGTGGCTGAGAATTACTTTAAGTTGTTAACAGAGGAAAATCATTAGTATCTTAAATATTGTAACACGCTTGTCTAAATAAATGTTGATATTAGTAATAACCATTGCATTAATTAGCAAATGTTTTATAACTGAAGCTGCAAATGCTTCTGTAGGTCACTCAGCATCCCTGTACAGGCTGCATAGTTAACCAGAGTGACTCTGCTTTGTGTTCTGGCTGCTTAAGCAGGACAGGAGAGCAGGACTTCTTTTCAGCACAATTCCCTGATTTGATTTGTAAATTAGCTCTTTGGAATCCTGCACTGGAAGCCTTTCAGAACAGCATCAGTCTTTTCTTTTGCAGCAAACCTCAGAGGTGTGAGGTTTTGGCCTGCACCTTTTTATTCCTGGTTTTGGTTAGCTGGGATCTGTTGTGGGGTTGGTTTGGGTTGGCTGCTGAAATGGGTGTGTCAAATGAGAGGCACTGTATGTAAGGATCCAAAAGAATTTGTATTTCTGGTTTAAAGCAGGAGTTTTGATGAACATTTCCTTGAACTGTGTGAAGTTGAGATAGCAAGTTATTCTTTGGCCAATTAGCAGCTCCATTATTTGCATTAGGTGTATCTTCACCCTGCTCAGTAGGGCAGAATTCAGCAGTTTCAGTACCTTTTGCTGTTGTATTTTTTGGAACACCAATGGCATGACATCACAGTCACTTGGAATTACAAATTTCCTGTAAATCAGAGTTGCATTTTTGTGAGTTTGTCTTTGTGATGGCTCTAAGTTTGGGAAGAGCTGGATTGTTTCTTTTGAGAGCAGGTTTAATTCAGAGTATTGCATTCTTTTCAGGTGCAAGCAGTTGCACATATCAAGTAAATGGGCATAAAAGATTATGATGGTCGTACTTAACAAACTGGAGCTGATGTTCTCCATGCTAATTAAGGAAAGGCATTACCAAAAATCAAGTTGCTCTTTTGATAGTGTATTTCTTTTCCAGGCCAAGCTTTGCTATGGAATTTGTAATAATAATACTTGTAAAAAGATTTCCTTCTCCTACTCCTGGAGAATTCTGAGCTACTCTCCAAGCTGGGGGACGGTTTCTTCAAGCTTTTTGCCTGAACTGTCAGCTCAGAGAGAGCTTGACATATTCACTTGGGTTTATAAACCAGATAATCCTCTGTGATGAGACAGTTGTTTCACAGAAATGCTTCATGCTGCAGAGTAATTGACTGAGAGAGTTGTAGCTCATCAATCTCTTTTGAAAAGCGCTACATAATTGGAAGACATGTTCCTCTTAATGATTTTGAAAATTAATAGAATGCTGTCAGTAATGAGGAAAACAGTGTGTGTTTTTTTTTCCCCCTGTGCTGTGAGGATTAAATAGAACCACCCTTTGCTCTCTCCCCTCAGAGCTGGAGGCCTATGCAGGTGTCATCAGTGCCTTACGAGCGCAGGGAGACCTCACCAAGGAGAAGAAGGATCTTCTGGGAGAACTCTCCAAAGTGCTTAGGTAACCCTGACCCCTTTAAACCGAGAGCCACGACCTGTTTTTCTTTTCTTTGGTGCTTTGTGGCAGTGTTAGAGGACTGCAGCCAGCTCATGAGTGTGTGCTGGCTTGGGGTTCTGTCAAGGTGGGACTCCAAGGTCTTGGAGCGCAGGGTGCCTCAAGAACGAAAGCTGCATGTTCTGGGTGAATTTTTCTGCCATATCCTTTAAATTTATTGCTCCCGTTAGGAGGTTGGATTCTGGCTGTTTTGCAGGGGTACCCTGTAAACAGAAATGTTCTTTTTATTCCTCAGTAATGTTTTGGAACAATTATACAGTTCACCCTTTCTCCCCGTGACCGCGAAAGTTAAGTGACAATCTCTTAAACGCCCGTCCCCTTTCCTCTCTGAGGCAGATTAATCATAAGTTTAATTTCAGCTGGAGTTTTTAGATAAATGCTCATGTCTCTCCCCCTGACTGAAATAAATGGCTGGTTTTCCACAGCATTTCCACGGAGCGACACCGCGCCGAGGTTCGGCGGGCGGTGAACGATGAACGGCTGACCACCATTGCACACAAGTGAGTCACGGGGCCTCGGTGCCCTCACTGCCACAAGGACCCCTTGGAAAAACCCATTAGGCCTCAGCTGAATGAGGGAACTCTGAAGATCGATGGTGGTTTTAAGAACAGTAGTTAAAACAGTGTGTGGGTGAGAGAATCACTGTGTCGGGTCTACATCAAGGACTAGGAGCAGTTCTTCAGAACAGTTAGATTTTGGATCTGAGGCTATCCCATGCACTGTACAATGTAAGACACAGTCTGGTGGGACAGACCAGAAAAAACAGAGAATGGAGAAAACAGAGAAGTTTCTAAGCAGGATGAACATGTTTGCCTTATTACTCACTTCTTGGTTTGCCTTTAGTTTTATTTTAATATGTTTGGAAAGGTTATGTGAAGAGGGACTTAACTACATAGGAAAGACAAAGGGAGGGGAAAGAGGTGGAAGAGATGAGTGGAAAGCAGTGCATCAGCACAGGGGAGAAATGGTCAGAGTAGAGAGGAGTGCAGCAAGCAGTTGGTGACATCAGTGTCCCCCATCCTGTGGCAGTGCAGCTGCTGGGCTGGCACCAGCGGGGCTGGTTCCTCCCTGGTGTGCTGGCACTGCCCCTGAGAGGTGCAGGGGAGCAGGAGAACAAGTCCCTTTGAGAGTTACTTAACAATCTTTAAGAAAGGGGAAAAAATAGTGAAAAATAAGCGTGTAGTTGCCAAATCAGGATTCTTTTCTTGAATCAGGTTTTCTTTTTAAGTTAGTGGTTCTGGTCTTAGCATTTTACAGATCATGCATAGTTTGCCCTGAGGTGTTGCACTTCAGTGAGATGTTATAATCCAGACAAAGTGCAGTTGTGAAGTGCTGCTTCTCTTTATCTTTCCTGTGGTAATTCCTTGTGAGTGATGGTTGGTAATACAGTGTTTGATTTCTATCATTCTTCAACTCATTAGGAAGGCTGACTTTGCTGGTTTTACTATATGGGATGTTTGTGCTCTCTATTTTTTGGTTTTAAAATGTACTTTTACCTCAGCTCACGAAGCTCCTTTTGTACTGTATGAATATGTGTGAAGAATGCTGAAGCATATCGAGATTTAACAACAGAGCAGATCCTGTGTGTTTTACAAACTAATTTGTAGTAGTTTTTGCTGCAACTTGCTTGCAATATTTCATGTGAGAAGTTGTTCTTCAGAATATATTAATATATTAAATGGGTTGATTTGCTTAAGAACACTACAGCATTGGAAAACAATTTACCATTTTGGTTTTGCTGATTTGACAAATGACTCGTGTAAAATAGTCATAAACAGAAACACTTCTCCACTTAGGTAAGAACAGCATTTTTCTCAAACATTCTGGTTTGTGTGTAAGTACTAAGGCAAGAGCAAGTGATAGCAGGAGACAGGTTTCTGCTTAGGAAGATGCTCAGGGTGTATTTTAATTATTTCATGTTCTGTCACCTTGTTTGGGACTACTTAAAGTCTTGAACTCTCCTGTTCAGCCAAAACAAGACTAGCATTAGAAGCTGAGGGCTTTTCCCTGTAGCATGGTCCATTTCAGGAGTCTTTTATGAAATCTGTTGGGTTTCTAGGTATTGTTGTTATCCAGAAGTAGAGGGTACCAACTCTACCTGAATAGTAGCAAACCTAATAAGGGAGTTTGAGTGTGATGCCCACACAGTTCTGAGCCCTGTAAAACAAAACAGTAAGAGAAGAACCACCTCTTCAGTTTAATGTGGGAGGTTTTCTGTGTCAGCTGAGAGAGGTGAGGGCCCTCATGAAAGGAAGAAAGTTGAACGTTAGTGCTGGAGTATGTCCTGAACTGCCTTTTAGACTTTCACCCTTGGGGAGGGGGGGGGGGGGGGGAAAAAGGAACTAAAAAAAAAATCCTGAGCATTCAGAAACTGGTCAGAGACTTACAGGCTGTGCCTTTCTGTTCAGCATGTCTGGACCCAACAGCTCCTCAGAGTGGTCCATCGAGGGCCGTCGCCTGGTGCCGCTGATGCCGCGGCTGGTGCCGCAGACGGCCTTCACCGTCACCGCCAACGCCGTGGCCAACGCCGCCGTGCAGCACAACTCCTCCCTCCCCCTGCCTGCAGACACCGGCAGCAAGGAAGGTGAGGGACTCAGGGGACCCTGCTGTGACCCGGGGGAGCGTGGGAATAACGTCAGGGCAGAAATCGCTGTTAGAAACCAAAGGTGTTGTTTCAAGGCCGGGTTGGACGGGGCGTGGAGCAGCCTGGGCTAGTGGAAGGTGTCCCTGCTCGTGGCAGGGGGTGGGACTGGATGAGCCTTAAAGTTCCTTCCAACCCAAACCCTTCTGATTCTATGGTTCTATGAAAAAAAAAAAAGAATCCCAAATCTTTCTGATTCTGTGGTTCTATGCAAAAAAAAAAAGAATCCCGAACCTTTCTTATTAAACGTTATTCACAGAAAATATAAACCCCCCCCCCTTTTTTTTTAAAGATACCTTTCCAGCACCTGCAACATAAATCTGGCAGCTTTGTGTTGGTGAGCACGCTGGCAACTGAGACAAAAAAAATCCAGGTTTGTCAGGAAATGAGGGGAACATTCACCGATTAACTTCTTCGGCTCTGTAAGCTTTAAAAACTTGTACCGGTGGCTTAAGATTTGGTAAAGTTCTGTAAGTGATCAAAGACACTTCAGAACACTTTGTTCTAAGAATGTAAGTAGCTTTTGGTGGAAGTCAAGAAAATGTTGGTTTGGGTTTTTGTTTGGTTTTGGTTTTTTTTTTCTCAGATCAGACATACCAAGGTAACACGTTAAAAGGTTACTTTCTGCTTTCCCTGTGCCTTTGAAATAATGGTAGTACACATTCCAGCTGGCTTGGCTGAACAGGCTTGAATTGTGCTTTATGCAACTGGAACATGTGTAACACTTCTTGGAAACAGGCTGTTTCATCCTGCTTTTGTGAGATACTGGATCATTGTATTATTACATATAAGCAATGGTTTAAAAAAGCTGATTAGCAAAATCAGTCTTCCTTACCAAAGGAATATTTTGGTTGTTTCAGCTGGTGTACTGCTGGGGAGAGGCAACAGCACTTTTCTATCAGTTACAAGTCTAGATATGGTCATTTCCAGAAAAGCAAAAACATCAAAGCATTGAATTAATGCTAAAATAAATAAGAACAAATGATGAAGCAAAACATCAGGTTAATACCAAAAAAGCTCACGTTGGCAGCACAGATTTCTGGGGGTGGGAGGAGGAGGGAGGTTACATTTCTGTGTTGTCTTTGAAGGCCATGAGCTCCGTGGCCATGCTCAGCTCAAGCTGGGGAGCATTCCACAGTGCCAGGATTGCAGAGGCAGGAATGGGGATAATGACCCAACGAGTCCCTGGCTTCCATTCCACTTGTTAACACAGTGATAGAATAATGGGATTCTGCACTGCAGTTGTATGGAAGGTGTCTTTTCTCCTCTTCAGTGGTGGTTTGCTTTTCCTACACAAGTAGCACTTCAGCCCCAACCTCCACCCCAGTTCCAAGTGGCAGTGTAGCAGCAGTGAAGTCCCCCAGGCCCGCCAGCCCAGCCTCCAGTGTAGTCATCTTGCCAAGTGGAAGTGCTGTGTACGTCAAAAGTAAGTGATCCCAGCACCTGCTGCACCAGAGGGAAGGAGAGGGACAGTCTGGGGGCTGCAGCACAGGCTGAGTTAAACACTCGGACCCTGGGCGAGTCACTGAAGGCCTCTGGGCCTTCCTTTAGGTCAAAGAATGAATTTATTGCTTCCCTTTTCCCGAGAAATTGCGTTCAGGATGAATCTGCTGGCAGCAAAATGCTGCAGGGAGCAGTAGTGCTGCAAGGACAACAGGAGGGGAAGAGATTTTGAAAATAAAATACAGAAATTGCTGTGTGTCAGTGGATTTCTAATCCATCTTGTTGAGAACTTGTCTTTAAGGTGGCTCTGCTGGTTGCTTCTGCAGAGGACTTCCCTCTTCACTCTGCTTAAATAATGCATAGTGTTCACTTACTTGAGTTAGAAAAGGTCCCTCCTTTCCACTTTCACAGTTGACACAGCCTTTTTTTTTTTTTTTAGAATGCAGTTTGGCAAGCATTTATGTGCTTACCTATTGACTGTGTCTGGCCATTTTGTGATTGATTTGGAAGTCAGTCTTAGTGAGACTTGCCTTCCTGGGCAGCTGTGAAGGCTTCATATGAATTCCAACCAGATTCCCATCTTCATATATTTAAATTTGGAAATAGAAACAGTCTTTTTTTGTGTCGTGTGTGTCCCCTTCTTTGTTTGGCTAATAAATCAGCTAGTTCTGAAAGCAGAGTGCAGCCTCATATGTATGCTCTCATTGTAAGTAGTTTTATTTTACTAATAATTAAAATGTTTCCTTTAGTCCTTATTTGGTGTCTGTCAAAATGACAAAGATTAACAGCGAAGGTTATATGTGGTATTTTTATGCTTACTGTGGTTATCTTTAATATTTTTTAAATTATTTCAGTCTTCCTGCTCTATGTGTGCATTTGTATAAGCTGCTAGCCAGTCAGAAATGTCACACTGTACATAAATATAATGTTACCTGCACACCACCATCCTTAGTGGCTGTGTCAGCCCAGGGAACCCACTGCATTAAGGTTCTTCTGATTTATGCACTGATCACTTGGCTTCAGTTTAAAGATTCAGGGGAGAATGTTCTTAACATCTTAAAAATTTAATGTAGACCTCTATTGAATTATTACATGGTGATGAGTATCAAACCAGTCTAGACACATGATAGAGGGTTGATCATTTTTATTCTGCCTGTCCCTAGGTTTCATTTTTCCCCCACTTTGTGTGCTTTGTTTTGTTGTTTTGTTTTTAAGAAATCACGTGTCTGTCAGAGTATGTTGCATCAGTCCCATTAGTTTTCACAAAGCTGCTCAGGAGCAAATTTGGGAGGTGTGAGTTGTAGTCCTGCCTTTGGCACTGGTGTGTGGGGTGCCCTCTCCCCAGCCAGAGCCTCACTGAGCCATTAACCCCCCCCTGCCTCTGCTTCCTCACCTGTCAGGGCTGACTGACAGTGGACCTGGGTTACCTGTGAGCTGAATGCCTGTGCTTGACCTTGTACAAATGCAATTTCTAACGTGACATGAAAGGAAAAACGTTCTTGCTGAACCCCAGCAGTGAAAACAGGGGATGAAATGAGCTGTGCTTAACATCAAATAATGCTCTGCTAGTTTAATCTTACTTTCTTACTTCTTGGTTGGTTGGTTGTTGGGTTGTTTGGGGGTTTTTTTGTGGTTGAGGACCACAAATAAATAGTTCTCTCTTCTGTATTTCTTGATGCCCCAGCAAAATAACAGCTGTGTCCTAACATTCCAGCTGCTTGTGGACTTTGGATTCAGATGGATTTTGAGATTCTGAAAGTCCTGCACATGTTCAATGTGATTAGTGCACTCACAGCTGTAAGTTTGCATAGTGCACCCACAGTAATACTTAAAGGCCTGTCCATGATAAACCCTGAAGTCATGTAACCAAACCTCTCCTGTGTGGAGGGAGATCACCACGAGACTGGTGCAGTAAACTGTGATTAGAGTTTCCTTGTGCTGCTGCAGCCACAGCTGTGGGCTGGAGTTCAAAGCCAGCTTCAGATGAAGCCTTTGCTTCTCTTCCCTGGGCCAGGGTCCCTCTGTGGGCACAGCTGCTGTCCTTGGGGGGCTCCTGCTGGCACAGAACCCCATTTCTCAGAAGTTACTTGCTGTGCTGCTGCTCACTTCCTTGGCCATGTTAATTCCTGCATCTTCACTTTTTGAATGCTTGAGTATTTAGTGATTTTAATTAGAGATTGGCCATAATTAGACCTTGACCCTCATTAGAGGTTGACTGCCAACCCAGTTTGCTCAAGTTACCAACAGCAAGGCTACTTTTTGCTGTGATGTGGGGCTTTTTGTCTTGAAGCCCCAGGCTCAGGGAACAGGATCTTCAGTTGTGTTCTGCACAAGCAGGATTGCATCTCTTCAGCTTCTCTCTGGTTGTTTGGGTTTCTTTGTTTAAACAGCGTGACACTGGTTAACATAAATCTCAGAATCACTGCCTTCAATGCTACCCACTAGCTGTAAGAATTTGGTTATTAAATTGTGTCTTTCTGTAACCTAGACCAGCTTACCAACCTCTTGCCTACTTGGGAAAGTTTCGTTTGGATTTAAGATCCATTAATCACGCTTTTATCCTTTGCTGAGCTGAATAGTGCAGCAGATTTTTTTAATATGTGTGCAGTAGATGCTTGTGAGGCAGAAGGAACTCTTTTGAGCCTGGGCTTGGTTTGTTTCTCATGACTGTGTTTTATATCCACTTTATATCTGTTGCTCAAAATGCACCAAAGAAGGGAAAAGCTGATAAAGTGAGGTTAAATCCTCGTAGTTAAACTGAAAAAAGGATCTCAAGATGCTGTATTGAGGTGAAAGGGAGAAGGGTACTGTAGGGATAAGCATGGCATGGAAGTAGGTGCAAAGGCTGAAATCAAGAAGACTGTAGGAGGATAAAGTTTGCCGTTGGTGCAAACAAAACCACCTCCACCACCAATGCAGTGAGAAGTTTGAAATCGAAATGTGCATGGCATTGTGCCAGCCCTAACCCCTCATTAGTCAAACTTGTGGAGGCAGAATGAAATCCCTGTGCTGGCTCTTGTGTTCTTTGAATCTGTCGACCTGAGTGAAGTAACCCAGTAACTGAGCAGCTGGGGTTTTTGGGAGGGTTTGCCTCTGGTTCCTGGCACTGTGAGTGTGGTCTGTGCCGAGGACTAAGAGCGTCCGAGGTGTGACCCAGCTTGGTTGTGACCGTGAGGTGTAATTTACCCTCTGTTCCTTTTTATCTTACTTGCAAGAGGATGTCAGACTCCAGGAGTGTGTAGTGTTTTGGGAAGCACTGGGAGCAGTGTAATTCAACAGAAGTGTTTCTTTCCCAGGTGTCAGCTGCTCGGACGACGATGAGAAGCCCCGCAAAAGGCGGCGAACAAATTCCTCCAGCTCTTCCCCCGTGCTCCTGAAAGAAGTCCCGAAGGCAGTGACTCCTGTCACCAAAACTATCACGGTGCCTGTAAGTGGCAGCCCCAAAATGAGTAACATAATGCAGAGCATTGCCAACTCCCTGCCACCACACATGTCGCCTGTGAAAATAACCTTCACGAAGCCCTCGACGCAGACGACAAACACCACAACACAGAAGGTATGTGGGGGAAGCTGCCAAATGTTCCTCTGTTCTGCTTCTGTCAATGAGTAAGATGTGATGTTTGACTCTTCCTCTCTGTGAACTGTCTGACTGGTTTTTAAGGATTGCCCTTGGGGTAAGGTAATCCCTCTTTAAACTGAACCGAGAGAAAACCGAGCTCTTGTGTGACTTTAGTTCAGCTGTGTGTGAAAGGACCTGGATTGACAGCCGTGGAGACTGAAGCCCTCTTTTTATCCACAGAACAGGTACAGCACAGGCAGCGGGAGTGCAAGCTTCCCCCAGACTGCCCCAGCCATGTGCCTCAACCCTGACCTGAAGGGACCACTTCTAGGGATGAGAGGGGATTCAGTCTCCATGCTCATTCAATTCTTGGCCTCTCTGGTGAGACTGCCAGCAAGGTTGCCAGTTAGTACCCTTTGTGGTGTTGGGTTTTGTGATATGGACACTAGTCCACTGAGAACTGGATCACATAGGCCACTGAACAGCCTTCAGATGGTAACAACTATTGGTCAAAGGTAATCTTTCTTATTTCTATTTTCCTTATTTATAATTATTCTTTGTGGTAGTAGAATTCCAGGGGAGATGGCATGGGCTTACCCTTGCCAAGCTTTTTATCTAGAGGCTAGTTTTCTTGGCTCTATAAAGCAAATTCTTGGAGCTGGTCAAAGACTGGGGGGCTTTATTTTCCTTTCAGTACTAGTGTGCCATTTCTCATTCTGCATTAACAGTGGTCAGAATCAGTTGCATTATTTCAGCTGAGTGTGCCCAGCTTTCACCACAGTGCAGTGTGTGGGAAAGGTTTCCCCTGCTGAAGTTGTGTACTAGACTCAGATTTTTACGTGCCTAATCTATGGCATGACTATTTTCCCATGCTTTAGGAAGCATTTCAGATGTGTCTGTTTTTCTGTTCTTAAGATGTAAAAAAAAAAAGATGAATGGCTCAGACCAAGCTCATTCCTGGCACAGTTATTAATTAAGGCAGACTTCAGGGAGGCGGGTGTCTCTGTGGAGTTAATTTGGCCTCGATGCTGACAGACTGATGGTAGGGCTGGCCACTAACAAGCATTTTTTTCCAACTGTGAGAGACTTGACTGTTGAGCTCAAACCTTCACATGGTGTTTGTTCTACTAGTCTGAATTGTTTTATGACTCTCTTTGGATTAGCAGGTTCCCATGTCCCGATTTTTGGAAACTTTAAAACCAAGTAAGATTAACTGAAGCAGTGTGCAATAAAGATCTTGCTCTCTCTGACCTTTTCCCACTCCAGGGCTCTTTGATGCTTTCATTTGATTCACTGTTCTATAAGTGTCCTTAATCAAATTTCACAGAAATCCACAAGTGAGCATAAACCATCCAGTAAATGTCCTGCACTGAGTGCAGCAAATCCACTACAGGGCTTAACCCCCCATCCTGCTGCTCGTTAGGCTCATCTTTTGTGCACAAAGAATTGTTTTGCCTTAAATGTCTGTAGGGTCGGATTAAGTGTGGGTGTTATATATCATGGTAATTAAAGGCAGAGAGTATCAAATCTCCAAAAGAATGGACTGTTGGTGCTTGCTGCAGTTGTGCCTCTGCCTGTTCTGACATGGGAATTTTAGGGTTTGCTGTGCACAGTATTATCTGACTCTTACTAATCTGCAGTGACAGGAAACTCAGTGCTGGTTTGGTGAGGCAGCCAGGGCAGAGTTTGTATCTGAACTTGTCACACTGCCCTCTTTTGTTGGATTTAGATGTGCCAAAACATGTCACTGGAGAAGTCCCCTTCCGTAGTTTTCAGTGGAGTGTCAGACTTGTTCCCTCATATCCAGCAGCACATTTCCAAGCTCACTGTGAGCTCTTGGATATGAATGAAGGCCCGCTTCTCTGCGTGGCAGCTTTTTGAATTGCTTTGACATTTTAGTAGGGCAAAGGCAGAGTTGTGGTAACAACTAATAATGTCACAGCTCTGGTTCCTGGATTGTCTGATAATAAAGTCCCCTGTCTAGGACACAGAAGGAATCCAGTTAGTGAAGTTCCTGGCAGTCAGAGCCTTTATTTTTCAAGAACTAGGTTTGGATGTCTGTCAAAATAGAGCTGACAGGACTAATTTCAGTGTATGTTGGGAATTAGTTTTTACTGTAACAATTACAGTCAACAACAAAAAAGCCAACTCGATTGTGTGTGTGTGTGTGTGTGTGTTTAAAGCCATGTGATGCAGTTTTGGTAGCCACGAGAGATTCTTTTGATCCTTTCAACGTATACGTGAGAAAACAGTATTTCAGAAGTGTAAGAGTTGTGATTTGAACTTTTACATTTTTATCTGAATTTTGTTTTCTGGATGCACTTCACACATGGAGTTCACTGAACTTTGTTCTGCTGTGTTAATTTTGAAAGGTGAAATGGCACAGAGACCCAAACCTGCTTACTCATGGTACAGCAGTCACTGCTGAGCTGCAGTGCTTTACAGGCCCTACTCCTTGCATGATTAAATCACGTGTTTTTAAGTGATAGTCTTGGACTGGTGGTTTTTCTCTGTCCTTGAAGGAAGAAAATGGTGTTCAGGACTTTTATTGTGCCCAGATTCATTCTATGTATCTATACTCAGGAGAGATGCTGAACTTGCCCTGTGGCACTGTGGTTTATATTCACACTAACCTGCCTTTTGTAACTGCAGGGTGTCCTTTGACTGTATTCCTGAGTTAGTTACCCTGGGTGGAGTGGAGCTGACCCTAAGTCAGACACTTGGGAGGTGTTTCTGGTGTTCACTGACAGTGTAGGGAACAGGTGAAGCTCCAGAACCACATCGTAGGAGCTTTTCCCCTGCAGTTCTCCCACCAGAACCAAGCTGTGCCACGTTCAGCTCCTCTGCATGGTTGTGGCCTAAGAGCAGTTGGAGAAGGGGGTTTTAATTAAATCCAGGTTGGGCAGAAGGCAAGATTAAGACTGATCCACAGAAATGTTCCTCCCTGGAAGGTGCAGGCACTGCTCAGGTGTGGGCAGCCTGCTCCAGGGGACAGGGAGGTTTTGGGTTTCCTCAGATCAGGACATGAAAGGTTGAGCTGAGGAGCAGAGACCATAAAACTGAGGCCTGGGGCTAAAGGAGAGGCAGAGGCAGCCATAGCCACAGTGGGGAAATTTGCTGCTCCTACTCCATCCACGTGGTTATTGCCTTTTATTTTTGTCCTCCATTTTCCTTTAAACAAATTATAAACTGCTCGATCTTTTGCTTAAGTGTATTTTTGGTGCCATTATCATATTATTTCTTTGTCAGGCGAGGTTTCAGTAGTCCCTGGGTAGCAGTGTAAGACTCTGTGTGTGAGCTGACCCAGGTTTCTTTGCTCCTCCTGTACTGTTTTGTTCTGTCTGCTCTCGTTACATGGAATCATTAATAAGTTGATATTTTCAAGGTTTTAATAAACTAAAGTTTTATTGGAACAATTGCATTATTAAAATAATTTCTCAATACTCTTGCATGGTAAACTGAAGATATGTTGTATTTGTGCTTTTTTTCTATTTTAACTGTGTAAGTACAAGAAGGTACATATAAGTAGAAGTTTTCCTTATGTAAACTGTCCCCATAGTCAATAATAAATAATAATAAAGGCTTAGTTTTCTAGGTCAGCTGCTTAAGGACAGACCTCTTCCAATCTTGTCGTGAATTCTCTGGTTTTCTATGTCAGATCAGATTCATAGAGTTGTAATTGTAACTTGCACTGGGGTGATGTTTATTCTCTTCAAACAAATGGTTTTCAGGCATATAAGGAAGAATTCCTAGTTCCTGAGAGCACTGATTAGAGCAGAAAATGTTTCAAACCTCAACCATTTTTCTTGCACTGATGAAATGTTGTTTACAGCCTTGTGGGTCAAAAATATTTCCCATTACTGACCCAGCAAGTGCTTGTTAATTGCTAAAGAGAAAACCCCCACCATCTAGTCTCTGTCATTGCCATTTCTTGCTATTTGTGTGAGGTTTGGGAGAGTGGTGCTTAAATCTTGCTGAACCTCCATTCAGTTCCATTGAAAATGGGCTTCAGGCTTCCTGGCTCAGTGTAATGAAGTCAAGCAGTTCATTTCTGTCTGTTTGCCTTCAGACATGAGATAATGCTATTTTAATTGCACAGTAATGGTTTTCCTTAAAAAAAAAAATCCTTCTAATTTTGAGGAAATGTTTACCACCACTTCTTTAAAATAATTGAAACTTCTTGTTGCCAGAAAATGTGATTATGACACTCCTAAATGCTCTTGATAATCACGTATCTCTAAAACTCAATACACAGACGGGCGCATAACTGCAATTTTATGCTTCTGAACGCGTGCGAAGAACAAATGAATTTCCTGTTGTTCTTTTTTTTTTTTTTTTTTTATTTCCTTCTTTCAGGTGATAATAGTAACCACCTCTCCAAGCTCGACTTTTGTACCCAACATCCTGTCCAAGTCCCACAACTATGCAGCAGTCACCAAGCTGGTCCCCACGTCGGTGATCGCCTCCACGACGCAGAAGCCGCCGGTGGTGATCACGGCGGCCCAGCCCTCGGTGGGCAGCAGCAGCAGCAGCAGCTGCCCCGCTGCCCCCTGCACTGCCAGCACCATTGCTGTCACTGCTGTCGTGTCCTCCACGCCCTCCGTGGTCATGTCCACCGTGGCACAAGGTACGGCCCTGACTCTGCCTTGTTTCCAGAGGGTCTTGTCTGTGGGATTGCGCTTTGGAGAAGGACGCTTCGGGGAGTGTCACTTGGGGTGTGATGGGTAAAGCACAGGAGGTGTGCGAGGAGTCTGCTGATGGAACTAAGCCAAGAGACTCCACAAAAGTTCTTGCTGAACTCTTTTTTTTTCCCCTTTGCTTCGACAGTTAGTGTGCAGATCCTCTTTTCAGGGAGAATGTGGTGGGGTGGTGTGACGTAGTTTTTGGTTTTTAAGACTGTGACGTGCATCATTAGAACGCTGTAGCCTCCAAATGACTGGCTTTGAGAACTCCACCTGCTGCATGGAAGTGGATGTTTCCGATATTTGAAGGTGATTGCTTCTCTTAAAAGCCTGATTTACAAAAAACATGCAAAGTTAACATCAAAGAAACACAACTTCAGTTTAACACGCCCAGATGACAATTATGAAAGGTAGAGAAGCGTTTACATCTTGTTATCTGTGTATTTTATCAGCAAAAAAGTCCTTTATAATTAAGGCCTGAGTAGGCCTGATTAAAATTTCCAGGTTTCTGATCTCAAGCTGCAGCTGTGTGTGCCAGCTGGACTGTTCAGCTTCACAGCCACCAGCTAACCTTTGAAAGGGAAGCTGGGAGTGAATGAAGGGTTCTTAATGAGCAGCACTTAAAACCCCCACCTGACAGTGACAAGTGTCACATCACAGTCTTTCCTGGCTCGTGTTTTCCATTCTTGTTCCACACTACAAAACTGGGTAACCATATCAAGGCTGAGAAGGTATTTTCCTTCCATAGTGCTTCTATTAATATAACCAGATACTAATCCACAGAGCAGAAGGGCTTACAGCAGACTGTTGAAACCATTGATTTTTAGTTGGGTTTGCTCATGGAAGAGACTTTAATTCTAAAATACAGTAGGTGGAGCATCTCTGTAACAGTTTTTTTCCAGCTGTCAGTGTCAGTGCAGAACATGCTGGTGAAACATTTTGGGACATAAACTGATAATCCCTCCCAGTGTAAAGAAAGTTAAACTCCCTTGCCTCCTGACAGAGCAGTTCTGCTACGTGGGAGCTTTGTTCCCTCACAGATCCCCGTGCCTTTTCCAGCAGCAAGGCCAGCTGGAGTGCACAGTTATTTTGGGAATGGCAGTGCCTTGTCTTTGGCGCTGCACTGTTCACTCTCCCCCCGTTTGCTCTCCCGCAGGTGTGTCCACATCAGCCATCAAGGTGGCCTCCAGCAGGCTGCCCTCCCCGAAGGCTCTGGTGGGCAGCCCCTCGCAGCTCCTGGCGCAGTTCCCCAAGCAGCACCAGCAGCCTCCCAAGCAGCAGCTGCACCAGGTCCCGCCGGCCCAGCAGCAGCAGCAGCAGCTGGTGCCCTCCTCGGGGGCCCAGCAGCAGCCCCAGCAGGCCCAGCTGCCCCCTGGCATCAAGCCCACCATTCAGATCAAGCAGGAATCAGGTAGTGGGGGCTGCTCTGGGGTCGTGTTGGTGAGCTGTGGCCGCAGGGTCCTGCCCACGCTGTGCACGGGGAGCTGGATGATTGCTGGGCTCTGAACCTCAGCAGGAGGAGATGTGTTGGCATGTTTGCAGCCAACGTTCCTTAAAGACTTTGGTTCTTTCATTCTTCTTGTTTGGTTCAGGTGTTACAGACCATGTTTTATCTCTAGAGGTTGAGAGGTATGTAAATGACTTCAAAAGTAAAGTGATTGGCAGCCTGGAGGAGACCAGTTTTCTGAAGATCCAGGAGCTGTTCAACTGTATCAACTGCAAAAAGAAGTTAATCCATGTTTTAATTCTTTTCTTTGGTCCAGAAATTAAAACTTACTTTTGAGGTGCTTGTCAAAACAAATACAATTAGATCTGGAAGTTGGACTGGATCCTTTTTGTAACCCTGATTCATTCAGCTGACTTTGGGCAAGTCATGTAATCTTTCTTCCCTGGCTTTTCTCTGCTGTAGCATACAGTTCTTATCTCAGTAAGAAGTAATGCTTGCAAAGTTACCCACTTCTAAAGGAAGAAATGCTATAAAAGTGCAAAGTATTTATATATATATATATATGTAAATATAAAATTAGTATTTTATATTAATCATGTCAGTAAAATTACCATTTTATAGTCATACTATTTAGATCAAGGAATTAAAATAGACCATAGAATGAAAAAATAAACAGCTACTTCTGTCCTTTGATAAAACTTCCTGAAGGATTCTAGGACCGTTGCTTGAGGAAATAATAGCTACTAATGAAGGCAGATAAAAGACTTCCATCCTCCCATCACTGAACAATATTTGATCAATAAGAGCTTCACTCCTTGTCTTCTCCCATGGGTTTAGGCTCAATGTGCTTTTTAGTTAAAAGTTGCTTTAGAAATACCTTTTTTTTTTTTTTTTAAGCCCAGTTCCTTTTGGCTTCAAGGTAACCAATAAATCACAAGGAAAGAGAACAGTTTACTTAAAATAACCTTCCCTAGCCAGTGTCACAGTTGCTTCCTTACAGTCACTAATGCTCCTTGTGCAAAAGGTTTTTTTTTAATTTGTTCAGGGTGGCGAAGTTTGTCTAGACTAATTAAGACCCATTAGGATTTACAGACTAAACTGTTGAAGAATTACTTCACTTTTAGATGGTTCATTATATGTGAACCAATTCAGCCTTGATTGTAACCTGTTGGCTCCTGGGAAAAGTTCTTCTTTTTGAATCGTGGACCAGGAAGAGTTTAAAAACGACATCAAACAAAGCAATGATGGTGTGGAATCCTATGCCTCAGTGGGAGTAGCTAGGAATTGAAACAGGCACTTGAAAGGCAAAGATGATGGCTGTCTTGGTATTTGCAAAACAAACAAAAAAAAAAACCCAAACCCAAGCAAAACAAACCCCAGCCCCCAAAAATGAAATCATTTTTTTTCAGGATCAAGAATACATGGGCTCAGAATTGAAGCCTTGTGGGGCTACTTGCCCACTGGGCCTTGGTCTGAGAAAGCATTTCAGAGAGTAACTTATCGTGCCTGTATTTTAACAGTGACTTTCTCCTTTCCTAGGTGTTAAAATAATCACTCAACAGGTGCAGCCCAGTAAAATCCTTCCCAAACCAGTTACAGCGACCTTGCCCAGCAGTAGCAATTCACCCATTATGGTGGTTAGCAGTAATGGGACTATCATGACAACTAAACTGGGCACTACTCCCACTGGTAAGTTCTGGCTCTGAGAAGGGAAGGGAGGGTAAACCCAGGCATCCAGGTGACCAGGCATGGCTCAGTAGGGTTAAAAACCCCACTTCTCTCTCCTGAGCAGGAAGCACAACAGCACATTCACACTCCTGCTGTTATTTATTCTGCGTCAGGATTTGTGCACTGAGGGCTCTTTTACTCCTCTTGTGGTCTTTGAATCGCTACACAAAAATATCATTGTTCCTCCCCCACTGGGGTTTTTTAAAGGAAGTTTTCTTTCAGCTTCTGCAGATACTTTGCACTTCTGTAGCACGTTATATTACAAAATCTACATTGATTTAACTCCAGCAGACAGGTCAGCATCATTCCTGTTTTACATATGTGGGCTTTAAAAGACAGGTGACTTGCTCATAGTCCTGCAGTGAATTTATAGAGGCCAGTAAATTGACATTTCAACTCCCAGTGTTTTTCTGGGCATCTAATTGTATTTGTGTTTGTAATTGGTTAAAGATCAGAAATCATGCAGGCTGTTCAGACTGTAAACTTGTATGAGGAAAACTTGAAAGGCAGTTTATCCTGGTTTTCAGAAAACTCTTATTTTCTGGGTTTTTTAGCATGGGTTGGGAATATTCAAGTAACAGAAATGTTAAGGTTGGAAAAGCCCTCTGAGGTTACCAAGTCCAACCACTGACCCAACACCACCATGTCCACATTAAACCCTGTCCCAAGGGCCACATCCTCATGCCTTTGGAGCATTCCCAGGGGTGGGGATTCCAGCACTTCCCTGGGCAGCCTGTTCCAGTGCCTGACCACCCTTTCCACGAGCACTTTTTTCATAGTGTCCAACCTGAACCTCCCCTGGTGCATCTTGAGGCCATCTCCTCTTGTCCTTAGCATAAACTAGGGGTTCATGTTCTTTTTTACGACTTTTGAAGTACCTCACAGGTACATTCTTGAATTCATTTAAAAAAAATAGCAGTTTTGCAGTTTATTTAGTTGGTAAAACATGTACTGTGCACACGTCTTTCTCGCTGTAACAAACTGTTTTGCTGTGTGATCTTTACCCATTAAGTGTGCTATCTGCAGCAGTACAAGCAGAATGGAATTGCAGTGTTTGTGGAGCTGTTGACTTACGATTTTTGAGCAAGTTTCTTTTGTGGACTCTGTTGTGTTTCCATCCAGAAAAGGACTATTTCTGAAAAAACAGCATTTTTAGCGTGTTAAGGTTTCTTTTGTGCTACTGTATGCTAAGTCCATAGAATTGCATCATCATGGTAAATTTTGTTTTTCTCTAAGAGTGTTATTTAGAGCAGTCATTGGTGCTCTTTGTAAACAGTCTGTCCTGTAAGAGGAGTGTCTTTTATGAGAGGGAGGGATGAGTTTTAGAAGTGCAATCGGGTGCCTGACTCTTGGGCTTCTAAGGGAGCACGAGGCAAAAACACTGGCAGAATCCAAACATCTATTGAGAATTATAGCCTTAGGCACAAGGACATGAATTAAGGCAGTCGTGGAACATTTGTTAAAATGCTTCAGAAGACTGGGACATTAATTTGAAGTCGGTATAAAAAAGCTACTAAAGAATCATGAAGGGTGGCAACAGACTGCAGTGTGGGATCTCCTTGAATGAATCTGATGCCCTTTTTTTTTTTTTTTTTTCCTAAACTAACTTGTTTTTCCACAAATAGCTGGCAGAGGATCGTGTTCTGACAGTGACCTTCCTTTTCCTCTCTTTCCAGCAGGCGCTCCAGCGACGTACACCCGGCCCACGGTGAGCCCGTCCCTGGGGGCTCGCATGGCTGGCACCCCAGGGGCTGCCACCTACGTCAAAACCACCAGTGGCAGCATCATCACCGTGGTCCCAAAGTCCCTGGCCACTCTGGGAGGGAAGATTATCAGCAGTAACATTGTCTCTGGTAGGCATACGAGTACCTTGATATTAACAAGATCAAAAATAACTTTAGGCCTGCTCTGGCTGTCCGGTGGGTCCCACGCTCAGATCGTTATGAGGAACTTTACTGGAGAATTTGGGAGAAAAATAGCTGAGCATGAAGAAGAAAGGAATAGGTAGAAGTTGTGAGGGTGAAGTGTTGTCAAGGGTGGCAGCAATTCTTGTGTTTAAGAAGGAAACATCAAGTGTGAGGGAAGCCTGGGAGGAAAAGGGAAGTGTGGGGTGGGACTGCTGTGCTGTACAGTTGGCAGAAAGGTTAGAAAGCACCATTGGCCCCAGTTTAAGACATATTATAGTCTTGATGGTGCCCTTCTCTGTTCCACTGCATGTCCAAAGAACCGGAATAAAAATGAACTGGATGTGTTAAATTCAGCTGTGCAGTCTCCCACCTTATTTGGTATTTTATCAGTGTCAGCCTGTCCTTCCTTTAGCCCATGTTCTAACTTAAGCTTTCCCTCCCAGCTTCGTGCAGACCCTGCTGCCTATTTTTGTTAGTCTGCTGACCAGCCTGGCTTCCCTGCCAGTTCCAGACTGGCACAGGGTGTCCAGAGAAGCTGTGGCTGCCCCACATCTGGAAGTGTCCAAGGCCAGGTTGGAGGTGGCTTGGAGCAACCTGGGCTAGTGGAAGGTGTCCCTGCCCATGGCAGGGGGTGGGACCTGATGATCTTAAAGGTTCCCTCCCAACCCAGACCATTCTGGGATTCTCCAGCCTCTAAAGATAGGATTTCTTTAGGAGCAGGTCCAAGCACATTTATACCAGTAACAATTTCTCAGCATGTGTTTTGGACTTTAGCTTTGCTTAGCAAAGACCTGACATGACCCCTGCCAGCTCCAGTCCCTGGGAAGTGCTGCACAAGCTATCCAGGAAACCCACTCTGGGCTGGAATCTGGCAGAGGTACCTCAGTTTTTTCAGGTCTTGATTTCTACAAAATCATATATAGGGATGCTACAGCAGTTCTTTGGGAACAAGTAACTTTTTTTAGCCTGTTGTGGGTATGATGAGTTGTCAAGATGATTTCTAGGACTACTAGTGAATTTATACACAAGTGCCAGTATCATTCTCCTGAGCACCAGCTAATGTGGGGAAAGCTGTGACTGATCCTGATGAGGATAAGGATTCCCATTCCAGATGAGGCTGGCTTCTTGTTGTGCTTTTCAGATTTAAATGCAATGAATCCTCTGTAGCTCCCTGACTTCCACAGTGAAGGGGAATACACAAAATGGGATAAACTGCACGTTGTTTCTTTTCCCGCAAAAATTTAGGAACTACAACCAAAATCACCACAATTCCAATGACATCCAAACCCAATGTGATTGTTGTGCAAAAGACTACTGGGAAAGGAACTACAATCCAAGGGCTTCCAGGCAAGAACGTTGTCACGACGCTGCTGAACGCTGGGGTAAGTGAGGCTCTGGCTGTCCCTGAGCCAGGTGAGCCGGGTGTGCTGCTGCATTCCTGCTGCCCAGGGCTCTCTGGAAAGCCAGCTGCATGAGCTCCTTGACAGGCCCAGCATGCCTTGGTGTCAGGGCTGCTTGGGAAGCCACTGTGGGCCACAGGATGGGATTCTGTGCTTAAAGCCAGCTGGGAACGTTTTCAGAGTTAAAGGAAAATAGGAACTTTTGAACTTGCCTTTTTCCCTTTGCTGAAGTGATGAAGTAGATGAAAATTACTGGAATCCTCCCCTGTTTGTGCTCTAGTGAGAACCAGGGTCCTGGGTTATAAACTTGCATCCCCCAACTGTTTATATTAAAGAGGCAGAAATAAATTGTGCCTTCCCAGCAGGGGAACCCCCTTCCAGTGTATGTGGTGTGTGACACTGTGCCATCCTGTACCTGAGCATTGTACTGTGCTGAATTATTTTTTGGATAACCTGACACATGTACTAAGAATAAAATCCAGTTTCCAGCATCAACTGAGTTCAACTCTACGTACTAGTAAATGAAAATGATGAATGTTCTTACAGTGAACTGTGAGATTTAATGTAACATTTTAAAGGCTGCTTAGTAGCAGAACTACAGAGGTTTTTTTCTAAACCTTTTAGGAATTTTTTTTTTTTTTTAAATTTTGAACTTTCCTAATTTACAGAATTCAAGATGTATTTTCAGACAAGTGGAAATCTTATTTTGTTACACAGTAGGAGCTAGGAGTATGGGAGGATGTTTCTGAAACAAGTATGTTTTTCGGGATTTCCTCCTATTTGATGGATATTGGTAGGAATATTAGGAGAACTGGCAACTAATGTTGTTTCTCATTTGGTTTGTTACTCTGCAGAGCTTAAAAAAAGCACGTTCAGTGTCTTTGCTCTTAAGCTATCAGAAGTCTGTTCATATATCAGCACTATTCCATAGTCAAATGATTCCTGTGGCACAGCTGTGAATCTGCATTTGTTGGTGAAGTGAACTTTGTTTAAAAGAAGTCCATGTGTAATTAATGTCTTGGCCCTGAGGATAATACAAAAATCTATATTTAAATAATTCCCTCTTAGAATCTCAGTTCAAGTTTTGTAGATGTCTTGCCACAGTCAGTGTTAATAGAAATCAGAGGTTTTCAGAAACATTTGTGAAGGATTTGAGGAAAGTTCCAACTTACGTAAACTCTTTGAAGCAACTTCAAAAAACTTCTCAGTGTCTTTTAGTTGCTCCTTTTTATTCACCCCTTCAGAGCTGTTCAGAAGATAAAGTAATGGAAAAGGGGATTTTGGTAGCTTTTTCCATTCAAAGTTGTAGGTTCTTTTGTTCTTGGTCTTCTAATGTATTTTGTCTCAAGTAAGTCTAGTTGCAGCAGCAAATTTATTTCATGGTACACACACTCATCTATAACTGTATTTTTTATTTTTTTTTTTAGAGAAGTGGGTCTCACTGAACAGTTTCATAAAGTTAACCTGTAAACTTTGGCTTCTCTACAGGGGGAGAAAACTATTCAGGCAGTGCCAGCAGGAGCAAAACCTGCTATCATCACTGCCACAAGACCCATCACAAAAATGATTGTTACACAGCCCAAAGGAATAGGGTCCACGGTCCAGCCAGCCACCAAAATCATCCCAACTAAAATTGTTTATGGGCAGCAAGGGAAAACGCAGGTACAGTGAGGACCCATTTCTGTCTTGGAATGTACCCCTCCATTTTAATGGGAAGTAAATCATTTTTCACTGTGTTGCCTCATTTGTTGCAGGATTAATATATGTCTGTGGGGAATGAGACTCAGTGGTGGAACGAGGTGGCCTTGATTCTGATTTCTTGAGCAGTATTTGAATTTGTTGGCTCTTTCTGGAGGCCTGAGCATTCCAAAAGGATTTACTAAGCCTGTTCCAGAGCTGAAACTGTCTGGTCATGGCTCTGGGTGCCTGTTTAAGTCTGACAGCTAATGGTTAGATCCTGGGAAATAAAGATGCACAGTCTGGACATAGGTCATCCATCAAATCTGAGGGTTTATCGAAGTTTATTTTCCGCTCAGTGTCTGTTCAGGTTGGCCCTGCAGCCTTGTGTGGTTGATGGGGCTGAATACCCAGGCTCCTTTCTGGGTGCTTTCAGTTTCAGCTTCTTCTCTGGCTGCACTTAGTGTTTAAAAGAATGAAACTTCTATCAGATGTAAAGTGTTGTGTGCCTGATTGTTCAGGACTGGATTTCCTGTGGAGGTGCTTGTCCTTCCCAGTGCAGTGCATGTCCCAGCTCACTTGCACAGCTTTCTCTTACCACACCAGAGTAGTATCTAGTCCTGAAAAATGACTCTTTAGTGGTTTATTTTGTTAAGACTTCAAGTTACCGAGTGAGAAGTGCATTCTTGTGCATTGCCATTCACTTGGGCTTTGTGGTTTAATAATCAGTTGCTGAATTTAGAGGTAGATTTGTGACTCATGTGGATATTATGTAGGTGGTGCACCCAGGTCTGTGGGTGGCACCCTGTGCTCTGATTGCTCAGACCCCTTTTCTCGAGTGCTCTGACTGTACACAAATGTATCTGTGTGATCAGGTCCTGATCAAGCCAAAGCCAGTGACGTTCCAGGCCACAGTGGTGAGTGAGCAGACCAGGCAGCTGGTGACAGAGACGTTGCAGCAGGCATCCAGGGTGGCAGAGACAGGAACCCCAGCTCTGCCAGAGGTGAAGGAGGAACCACAGACCTACACCGACAGCAGCTCCTCGTCCACAGAGTCCTCCCAGAGCTCTCAAGGTGTGTTGGTGTCACGGAAAACCCCAGGGGACTGTCCCCAAGGTGTCACATAACTCTGTGTCTCCTGCCAGCACACGTTTTCACCCAGCCTGTTACACCAAAGTGCCACTGTGCCCTTATTTTTTTATGTTTCTTTTGAGCTGCTTACTGTGCGCTGGCATTTCTCCTGAAAAGTGGACACAGCGATTCCTTGCTGGGCTCCAGCTTTTCACACAAGGCCCCCTGTTCCCTGTGTCTGGGGGTCTGCCAGGGGACAGGCAGTGTAGCAGGTTTTGGGGGTTATTTTGGCAGTTCATGGTTTTCCCTGTGTGACAGCATCTCTGCTGCATGACTGACAGCTGCCATGGGACAGCACAGATTATAAATGCACATGCATGTGCACCAGGACGTGGATCAGACATGCAGTCCCCATGGGAATGCTGCCCTGGCTTCAAGCCATGGCACAGATGCAGCTCTGTGTGTGTGGAAGAGGAGCATAAATAATAGGGCATAAACAGCACCCTGGTTGGAAGTGACCAGAGGATGTGTCACTGCAGCAAATAAAAGCAAATGTCTCAGAGAATCCTTTGGACCTCTTCTGTATAATTCTGTGACTGTTGGTCTATACTGCCATTTTAAGTGAATTTTAAGAAGTTTTGAAGATTCAACCAACTTATCAAAATTTAGGAGCCATTAATTCAGAATGCTGAATACATGTTGATCACCTGAACTGCTGAAACCTTGTGAAAAAACCTAGTTCGATCCAAGGCAAATTCAACATACAAAGAAACATTCTGAACTTTGATTTTTCGGAACAAAGTCTTCTGAAAAAAAACTAAGATGCAGGATTTTTTGTTTTTCTGAAAATCATTCATAACATCAGCAGTGTTTTACTTCGAGTCAATTGTAATAAAAACTGGTGTTGCAGAATCAGAGTATGCGTCCTTGGCAGTGGGCAAAATTCTAATGAATAATGAATAACTTAGTATAATTTTAAACTATAGCCCTGCTTTAAAGCAAGAGGTCGGACAAGAGACCTCCAGCCCAAAATGGTTCTGGCACAGGTTGCCCAGAGCAGCTGTGGCTGCCCCTGGATCCCTGGAAGTGTCCAAGGCCAGGTTGGACGGGGCTTGGAGAAGCCTGGGCTACAGTGGAAGGTGTCCCTGCCCACGGCAGGGGGTGGCACTGGATAAGGTTTAAGGTCCCTCCCAACCCAAACCATTCCATGACTCTGTGATGTGCCTTTGTTCTTTAACAAACAGATTCTCAGCCTGTGGTCCATGTGATTGCTTCGAGAAGTCAAGACTGGTCAGAACATGAAATTGCTGTGGACACAAGCCCTACAATAATTTACCAGGATGTATCCAGTGAATCTCAGTCAGCTACTTCCACAATAAAAGCTTTGCTGGAACTTCAGCAGACAACAGGTCTGAAAACCCATGAGATTGTCTAGGATAACTTCAAAGGTTATTTTTTGCTTAAGCAGCCCTTTGTAATAAGTTTTGTAATTGAAAAGCACCTCTCTTGAATCAGCTTGATTCCTTTCCTCTTATCCTGTATCAGTTTGTTTGCATGTATTTGGTGCATCTGTTCTCTGGTGTTCACGATCTGTTTAATTAAACTGGTGCATTTATAGTGGAGATTTGTTTTATTATGGAGGTTTATATGTTAGAGGCTGACTTAATGTTTTTCTGCTGAAGCAGTGAAGGAGAAGTTGGAATCGAAGCCAAGGCAGCCCACCATTGACCTGAGCCAGATGGCTGTTCCAATCCAGATGACTCAAGAAAAGAGGCATTCCCCAGAAAGTCCTTCAATTGCTGTTGTAGAGTCAGAATTAGTGGCTGAATATATCACAACTGGTAAGTGTGTGTCTAAGGCAGTGTGATGGTGGGTTTGCAGTTGGGGTCTGGGGACTTAATTTTGGAGTTTTCTCACAATAGGTTTCGCTTTCATGTTTTCACTGTAATTTTCTGTAGAGGAAATGAGTCTTTTCTTCCATTCTTGAGACCCTGTGAGGGGGCAGAGACTGTATCTACTTTGCTGGGCCATAAGGGAACACGTTTCTAACTGGTACAAAGGGTTGTTGCTTTAAGACATCACGGTTGGATAGATTTTCTGGTCCCTGGATGAAGAAGACAGACTGTCCCACTTGTCTTAAAGGAAAATGTCCAGTAAGGACAAAGTGGAAGGTGAAGTTACAGGAACTGCATCCTGTTTTTTGTACATATTGAGAGGAGTCAGACATTGAGTTAAAACCCATTTAGTCCTGAGTTAAAGCCAGGTGTGCATTTAGCATGCTAACGTGGTCCCCAGTTTCTTCATTTGCTAGAAAGCTTTGAACTAATAAATTTGCACTTTAAATAATTCAAATTCTGATTGGAATTCAGTGCTTAACTTTTTAAACTCCTGGCTCCTCCTATCTGGACATCCATTTGGTGGAAGTCCTTGTCTCTCTGATGCTCCCCACCACTCCAGAACATTAGGTGTGAGCTACTTCATGAGAGGATCAAATGACCTGTTTTCCATTTTAATTTCTTAAGTCCACGCTGTTGGTCTCCCTCCCTGCTTTCTTTGGAAAAGGAAAGCAGAAGTGTGTTGAAAATCCACATTGAATAGAAGAATAAATGAAACTTAATTGTGTTGAATTGTTTAGGTACATATCTGTAACTCCAGTGGTTTTAGTGCTAAGTGTCTAATCTAATATTTTGCTCTGTGCTTCCTCCCCTTGCTTCCATCCCTTGTAGGGCCTAAATTTGTGTGAAACTGGAGCTGGGGAGGATGTTATTGTTATTCTTCTAAATAACACTCACTGTATCTGCTACAATTCTGAATGTTTGAGTCCTGCTCCCTCAGATCCCTCTTAAAACAAACCCCAAAGCACAACAAATGACTGCCTGCTAACTGGAGAGCACTTTTCCTTCCCTGGCACAGATATTGTGCATTGAGCACATGGTCAAGGTTCCAGTTTTTGACAGGTCTTGCTGTGCAAGTTGATGTAAAATAGGGCCTTTGGCAGGCAGGATGGGGAGTTGCAGTCAGTGTTTTTGTCCTTTTCTGCAGCTTAGAAGCCACGCAAAGTACAAAAGCTGAAAACTTCCTGGAGATGTCACTGTTTGAAACACTGGGAGTTTTGTAAACATTGATTGGAAATCTGGGAATCAACCAGAGGAGTGCAGGCTGCTGTGGGCTGAGGAGCAGCAGGTTCTGCTGCAGCACAAAAGTGTTTATTCTGCTCTTAGATTTTTGTCCCTTCCCCCAGTTTCTGTGAACACTGCCAGGGAATGCAGGTCATTGAGTGTTTCTTCTTTTTTAATTTGTGCTTCTCTGGATTTATCAGTAACCCACAGAGCTGTATTTTCTGCTAAAAATTCAGTAGTAAGACAGCAAAGAGTCTGTAGTGTGGTGTGAAATGTCCTCCATGCCCCTGGCCTGAAGGATTAGGCACACTGCAATCCCTGTGGGAGCTGGGATTCAGCATGTGCTTCCTCCTGAGGTGAAGGGAGCAGTTCACACATCTCAGTGTCACCATTTCTTGTCTGTCTGCAGACTCAGGAAGACAACACTGTATTGGTTCACATTCGGAAGAATATCTACACAACCATATAGGTTAGAAACTTTACTTTTAAATTAAGTTTTCAATTGTGTAGGAACTGTTGGGAGGTGCCCAGGATGAATCTGGCACAGCATGCAGGCCGGTATTGATATAATCCACCTCCTTTCTTGGAGTGAGAAAGGAAAATTACCATATTAATTCAAAATATGATATTCCTTGTAACATTCAGGAAGGTCACTAGAAACTTTTTAATTTTAAATTATGTTACAACTGAATTTACAACTTTTTGCTTCTTCAGTTATGAAATATTTTGTAACTAAGATATAAAGCAAATATTTGCCTATTAATATGGACAGGTATAAAGTGATTTGGATTCATATCAGTGACTGCAATATAGAATGGTTTGTTTGGGTTTTTTTCTCAGCAGCACGTAGTTTTTCTGTTGATCCACCGTTTAATTACAGACCCACACCATAACCCTGTAACTCATGCTGGATCTATTCTCAGAAGTGACACAGACCTGTGACAAGGTCATGTCAGATCAGCCTCACTTGTTTTCATAACACCCAAATATTTTCTGCGTGTTAATCTTCCAAATTTAGCCTGTGCTCTGGAGGGTCTTCTGTGCAGTTTCTCAGTGGTAGAAATTCAGTGAGCAAGGCTTGCTGTTCTTAATTGCAGTCAGTTGTGGAGGTGCTTTTACCAGCGTAAAACCAGAATAACTCGTGCTCTGCACGTTACACTGGTGCTGTACAAAGAACCCAGCTGACAATGGAGCATAAGCAGAGTTGGTGTGTTGGGAGAGGGAGGCCAGAGGAGCTTTGGACCGAGTGTGGTGACTCAGGAAACAGAGAGCAAAGCGAGCCCCCCGGGGAGGTTTCTCAGAGTAGCTGTGCCCCTTGAGGCCAGAGCAGACAGCCTTTCCCGCTCCTCCGTGCTGCCAGCTGAGGCTGGAGTGCCAGCTGAGGCTGGAGTGCCCGGTGCAGCCCTGAGGAGGCTCTGGAGGAGTGGCACTGACCTCTTTGCTTGCAGTGAGCCATCGGCAGCCCCCGGCGCCGGCGCAGCCCCCGCGGACCCTCCTGCAGCACGTGGCGCAGTCGCAGACGGCAACGCAGACCTCTGTGGTGGTGAAATCCATCCCCGCCTCCTCCACGGGCGCCATCACCCACATCATGCAGCAGGTTGGAGCCTTTCTTTTCCCAGCAGTCTGTACACAGCAGCAGGCTCTAGGGATTGGGTAGGACCGGGGCTTGTTCTGGGTGAACATGTCGTGTTGCTGCCACCGAAAATGTTCGGTGTACAGGCAAGTTAGTAATTGTAGGATTACCTTAATGGCCTGAAGGAAGGCGGGTTTAGATTAGATATTGGGAAGAAATTCTTTACTATAAGGGTGGGGAGGCCCTGGCACAGGTTGCCCTGCCCCATCCCTGGATGTGTCCAAGGCCAGGTTGGACGGGGCTTGGAGCAACCTGGGCTAGTGGAAGGTGTCCCTGCCCATGGCAGGGGATGGCACTGGATGGGCTTCGAGGTCCTTCCAACCCAAACCATTCTGTGACTGTGTTTTGGTGGTGAGGGTGGTGGTTGTGTTGCAGGGGCCTGGACTCTTCAGCTGATGTTGGTGGCAGTGCAGGGGGAGGAGGGCTGAGCAGAACCTGGGCAGTACCCAGAGCACACACTGTCCCTGCTGTCTGAGGGCTTCAGCTGGTGAAAAGGCAAACTTCTCTGAATCAGAAGTCAGATGGTATTTAGATCAGTACCATGAGGATCCCAAACACTTCAAACAAACACTGCAGCTTGTGGTGAAGTCGTACTGAAGCCACTCCTTTGCCTTTGGTCAGGATCTGCTCAGCTCTGCAGGGCTTTAAGCTCTGGGCACTTCAGGTGTGCTCCAGAACAGTTCTGTGTTAGGGTTCCAAACTCCTGTCAGGGGGTGGATTTCCATGGGTGCTGGAGGAGGCTGCTTCCTCCTTGCTGAGGCCATTTGTCAGTACCTTTATCCTGTGGTGTTCAAAGTGTGGAGTGCGGGTTGCTCACTCCCTCAAATCTCTCAGAAAATCAGACGTTTGTGCCACACCCAGGAAAAATTGCAGTTTGGAGAAAGGAAGGAGAAGGGAGGATCTCTGCTGAAATAAGGTAGACTGTAGGTCTGTAGGGACCTGCAGAGGAAATCATGGATAAGATGACTAGGCTTTCAAGAGGCAGAGTAAAAATTGTGCAGAGAGACTCTGGCTTTAACATGGAGCTATTGGTTCAGCTGCCTACTACTCCCTGCTGCTTCATGTCCACCTGCCAGGCAACCCTGGGGGGCTTTGAACCTCAGTCTGACTCAAGTGAGGTGTACAAAATCCCCCTGAGGATTAGTGAGGCAGTTAACATTCTCACCTAGAGATGTACCACAGTTTACTGTGATAAAAGTAGCTGTTTCTTGCATATGTATTGTGGAATCTCCATGTAATAGTATCTTTGTATACACAAATTGGGAGCCTGTAATGGTAAAATAAGTTAAAGTAGTCCATTTGAAACATCAAAAACTATTTCTAGATTGTGTATTCTTACATTTTTCTCTTCACTAACTTGCTCTAACTTCTTCTCCTTAAGGCCTTAAGCAGTCACACTGCATTTACGAAACACAGTGAACAACTTGGGACCGAGGAGGGAGAAGTGGAAGAGATGGACACCTTAGATCCTCAGACTGGCCTGTTTTACAGATCTGCCCTGACACAGTCACAGGCACAAAAGCAGCAAAAACTGAGTCAGCCACAGCTGGAACAGACTCAACTGCAAGTGAAAACTCTGCAGTGCTTCCAGACCAAGCAGAAGCAGACAATCCACCTGCAGGCCGACCAGATCCAGCACAAACTCCCGCAAATGCCCCAGCTTTCCATAAGGCATCAAAAGCTAACCCCCCTGCAGCAGGAGCAAGCACAGAGCAAACCAGATGCACAGCACCCCCCCCACCACATGATGGCCAAAGAGAGGCAACTCCCCACCTTAGTGGCACAGCCACAGCAAACTGTAGTGCAGGTGCTGGCAGTAAAAACCACGCAGCAGCTGCCCAAACTGCAGCAGGCACCAACGGCACAAAAAATCTACGTGCAACCCCAGCCCCCCCCGAGCCCAGTGCAGCTCCCTGCCTCTTCAGACAAGCAGCCAGCGAGCCAGGTAACGGAATATTGATAGCATGCACGTCCTGCTGGTCAGGCAAAACCACCCAGCCAGCCCTGGGCTGTAGCAGTGTTTTTGTCCTGGCACGAGAACCCCTCGTTCCGCTGGTGTCCATCGCCAGAAGGTTGGCACTAGGGAAGAGCAGCACATGTTGCAGGGGAAAGATCCATAGAGCTCACATACGTGTTCTGTTGGACAGTTCTTACTGATTTCAGCCACCACTGGTGCATGGAGTTTGTCCCTAGTTATTTTCTTTTAATTTGTAGGTGTGGCACATTACTAATTTCCATTCCCATAGCACTTTTTATTTCTGTGGAAATGAAGACTGCAGTCTCCTAAGGCTCTCCATTGTTCCTCTTCCTTTGTAGTTTACATCTTCCTGAAGTTATATGGCTTTCATGTACAGGAGTAATTTGATTTTCCTTGGGAGGGAAAAATGTAAAGACTGAGGAACATGGAAAAAAAAATGTATTTTAACTAACTCCAGAAAGGTACAATTTTAATTTTTTTTTTTTTTTGGCCCTTTCAGGAATACATGTAAAAACTAGAGGCTTTAGCAGACATCCCATGGGGCTGTAAATCCCAAAGGAAAATGAGGCTGCTGTGGTATTATACTGCTACAATCCTTACCTAGCAGCCTAAGAAGCTGCTTTTCCCCAGGCTTCAATTAACTGTCACCCTATCATTTCTAGTTCCTTTGTTAAAACACTGAGTTTCAACTGTCTTCCTAACAGCAAGTATGTTGTTTGTGCCATTCTGTCCTCGGAAATACTGGTTAGGTTTTCAGTAAGAAAAGATTAACTGTGATATGCACAACAAAAATTTGATTTTCAGGTGCAACATCCAACTCTAATGCAAGGAGTTACAGAGTTAACTCTCGGGGGGGGTGTCAGCCTCCTGTGGTTGCAGAGGTAGCAGGTGGCAGTGGTGTGCCCCAGCTGGCACTGCCGGTTACCAGCCCTATTTCCCATGCAGGCACCCCCGGAGGCAGCAGTAGCAGATATTTTGAGAGTGTCTGTGGTGGAAGCTCACACTGATGCAAACATAGAGCACACGGTAGTGGATCCCCCAGACCAGGCCACGTCCACTAGTAAAGTCTCTAGTGAAGCAGAGTCGTCACCTTGTCCCCAGGTGCCTCGGGTGGCTGCTCTAGGGACGACGGCAACAACCTCCACCCCCCAGCAACAGCCCCGGACAGAGCCCAGCCCAGCCCCTCCTGCTGCTGCTGCTGCTGCTGCTCCCGCCGAGGCACAGGGAGTGCCCCCAACAAACCAGTTTGTGCACATTCAGAACCTCTCCCAGAAGAAGGCTGAAGAGAGCTCCTCAGAGGTCGTCGTCCAGGTAAGGGAAGAGCAGAGCAAATGAGGCAGAAGGTCGAGCGGAGCCAGCTCGTGGCTGATGGGGTGGCAGCCACTGGGTGATGTTTGAGTGGGTTTGGGTCCTTTTTCTACTCTTACACTTGTAATGGTTTGCTACTTCAGAGTGTGCCATTGTTCTTAAATTGGAGTTTCTCTAGCACTGCATCCTCAGTGTCTTCCTCCCTCTGTTAAAACAACCAAGCTCATCTCATTTTACGAAGTACTTTCATTTGAGATGGGTGAAAGTGTGGCCTTCGACACCAAGTACAGAACTGTGTTCTAGAATATTTTGTCATTTCTATTAATGTTACCTCTGAGTATAAAATTAGTACAAAAAATGGCATAGTGCAGTTTTACTTGCTGGGAAAGTTTAGCAAATAAGGTCTGAATTCAAAAGGGAGCTTTTTAACTTCACTTATGACCAGACTTACCACTTCTGAGATTAAATGATTATTGATCTTCAGCCTATATGCCTGGAGTTATTGCTTAACTGATGCTTGATACTTTCATTGATTCTGCTGTCTTAAATATGATGGTTTATGTTGTAATAAGTTGTCTGAATGTCAACTAAAGAAGTATAGAAGTCTTCTGAGTGGTATAATATGGATGCAAGTAATAGCTGACACAGTCTATGCTCACACAAATGAGAGGTGGATTGAAATGGTTGTATTATGTATCATTTGTGTTACACTGAAAATGCTGCTGATGTGGGAAACAATTTGTGTACAGAGGTCTCACATTTTTCATGCTTCTTTGTAAAATCTTCACTGGGGCTGACTAACTTCTCTGTGGTAGAAATCATCATTTTTGTACTCATTTATAGTACTCCTTTTCCTAAATAGGCAAAAGTAGATTTCTGTTTTACTTCAGACCTGTATGATTTGAGAACCTGTCCTGTTTATCCACGTGGCACCCAATAAGCTCTTTCAAAATACAAATACTGCCCGGAATTTCAGTTGTATGAAGTTGTAGATTTCGCTTCTACAACCTGGGAAAGTATAATAAATAGATATAAATAGTAACAATAGGTTAGAAATAAACAACTGTGGTGTTTCCACAGCCTCTGTGCTGCTGCAGCCCTGAGCAGGGCTGGAGCTCGTATTGAGTTTGGTACAGAAAACAGAGTCAGTCATCCCAGAGTGCCTGGACAATGCTCACATAGGATTCTTGGGGTGTCCTGTGCAGGGCCAGGGGTTGGACTCGGTGATCCTTGTGAGTCTCCTCTAACCCAGGACACCAGAATGGCTTGTCTGAAAAAGATAAGGACAAGATAAGGCTGAAGAAAATATTCTCTCTGCTTTGGGTTTGGGGAGCGGTGGATGATGGGCGTTGGTTATGCTGTCACAGACCTTTAGGGAAGATCAAAGGCCAGGATCGGGGCCTGAAGAGGAAGATCATTCAAATTTTACCTTTCACACTCCAGTGAAAGGATGCTTTGAAGCCTTAGCTGGGGAAAACTGCCCTTGGAAACCAAATACCTTTTTCCCCGAGTGCCTGTGCTCGCACAGACGCCTTTCCCTGTCCAAACCGTTTGCTAAACTTGCATGTTTTCTTTCTTTCAGACTATCCCTCACTATTCCATCCCTTGTCACTCCAGCTCCAACGTGGTGGTGGAACCCAGCGGGCTCCTGGAGCTCAACAACTTCACCAGTCAGCGCCTGGATGATGAGGAGACGGCGATGGAGCAGGATGGGGACAGTGGCCCCGAGGATGGCCCCGAGCCCAGCCCCTCCCGGAGCTCTGCTGAGCAATCCTGAGCAACTGGGACGCTGGAGTGCACTTTAGAATGTCTTGGGATTCTGAGGATCCGAGATGCCCTCGTGTTGTGATGTCCTGGAGCACTTTGCCCCGTTAGAGTTGTTCGTTGGACCCTCGGAGCATCGGTGTGTTTTAACAAGACGGCGTCGCAGAACCCGCGTCTTCAAAACTGTTTCCAAAAGAAAAAAAAAAAAGAGAAGAAAAGATGTAGTTCCCAAGATTTAGTGAAGCTGTGACAGTGGAATGTACTCCTGCTCAAACACCAGACTGCAGCAAACTCTGCAGCTCGTGCTCTGGAAGCCCCTGCCCAGATATTCAAACAGCTCCCGGTGAAAAGGGGTCGTCGCTTTGCCGGGTCCTTCCCTTGAGAAAAACACCATCCAAAAAAAAAAAAAAAGAGAGAGAACATGTAATAAATGCTTGTATTTTCAAACAGCATGTGGGAGAAGAAGTGTCTCTGACAGTGCTGGAATTTTGGAATTGGTCAGCTTTCTTGCTCACTTAGAGATAAGATTTGGTGGGGTTTTTTTCATAAGACTAAAAATATATTTTTTTTAAATTCTTGTTGGTGAATGTTTGGAAATAAGCAAAATCACTAACTGACAGAAAAGTGGATTTGCTGGTGGATTTTGTTTTCATGCTTTACAAGAAGTAGGGAGATGGTATATGAGGCATTTCTTTTGCCATAAGTGCACAAAATGCTCATCTACTCCAGTTAATCTTTGATTATTTATTAAAGTGAGGCCAAGTTGTTGAAGAAGTTCCTGTGAAACAGGCAGTTGTGTTAATTCTGATACAAACTGAGTTGGGGGGGTGTCTTTTGCTATAAATCAGTTTTTCAAAATTGGGGATAAGTGGTTCAACGTCTTTCCAAGTTGAACTTGTGAATTTAGAAGTGATGTAAGGCTTTTAAAAATCTGTATTTTACTCTTACATGCTGTTCTTAAAGTTGACCGTTTGGGGAGTTTAAAAGCTTAAATGGGCATAGAGGGGCAGGTTTCCAAAATGAGCCTTATGCCTTGGCTTGTTGAAGCAATACATTGGGGTTTGTGATAGTTCCAGGTCATGGAGACAGGTTTGGGTTCAGAGGGGAGGAGAGAACCAGTTTTAATACCAGTTTTAATACATTCTGGTAATCAAGACTTTTTTTTTTTTTTTTTTCCCAAATGTGTATAAAACCACGTTTTTAACTGTTTTGTATAGATTTCATTATAAATAACTGAGCGTTTTCCGACTTTGCCATATCATTTCATTGTACATACATCTGGAAGCCTAACTGCCCACGGTTTGGTGCTCAAGTACTACTGTAAGTAGATCTCATCCAAAGTCTAATACAGCTCTTTGCCTCAGTCTTTTTTTTTTTTAAGCTGTGATTTTGCTGTTGATATTGTAGTAAAGGTTAAATTCCAACTGGAGTAACTCAAACGAAAAAAATACAAACCCTAAACCCCATTTATTCATCTCACTTGTCCTGAGTATCCACCTGTGTTAGAACACACAGTAACCCCTAGGTGGGGCTCTTGGTTTTCACCTAACCTCTGTTATCTTAGAAATTAAGTCACTATGACTTTCACATACTTTTTTTTCCCCCTTCTGTTTTCTTCTTCCATCAGCACTAGTTCCAAAATAAGGTAGTTCAATATGGTAGAGAAGTGTCCTGATAAATTCAACATGCAAATACTGGAATAATGGGTTACAAAAATAATGATTTCTGTGTTACCTGATGTTGAAATGGGTGTTGGTTTGGTTTCTGCTGCCCAGGAAGGGTCTGTAGTTGTCCATCCCCAGTTGGGAGAAGCCCAAAGCAGGTGACACACACGGTTCTTCTGGCTTGTATCAGATTTTCAGGGTCACCTGGGCTCTTGCAGAGCTTCAGGTGTCCCTGACAAATCCAGGACTGGAAGGCCATGAGAATATCAGAGAAAGTAAGATTTCTCTGAAGTGCTAATGCCCAGGAACGTTCCTTACATTCCAGTTTCAGTTCTGGTGAAGGTGTGTGCTCTCCCCAGCCAAAACCAGGTGCTAAGACGTGGCCTGAGGTGAATTAACACCTGATGCTCTCACTGCACTGTCGAGTTCTGCTCCAGTTTATTCTGATGTTTTATGCCAGACCTTTTTTGCCTCTTTAGGAGTGCCTGGAGCAAAGATATGAACAACTGCAGTGAACTCTTTGACAGTTCCTTGAAGGCACCAAATCTCTGTTAAACACCCGAAAGCTTCTCCTGTTGGTGTGAGAAGTGACTGATTCCAGGTTGGCAGGTTGATGCACGTGCTGGGGATGTCTGGGGCTGGTGGCACAAATTGAGAAGAAGGGACTTTGGTGATCAGTGTGTTCATTCTTGAGACTCCTCTCCTGCTGCTTTCCCAAACTGGAGCTGTGCTCTGGGCGTTCTCTTTGCTGAATTTGTGTGTTTCAGCACTTCACCATATGAATACTTTTAATAATAAGGAATATACAAGAGGAGCTAATATTTAGGGCCAATATTTTAATTTTTTTTCCCTGGTTACTTGATTTTTGCTGATGACTGGAAGAAGGCATCCTTGGAGCATTTGGCCTTCTCCCCTTTCCATGAACTCCAGGCATCACTGCCTTCTCCTTGCCCTGCCTGGCAGATGTGCAGCTTTTTCCTCTCTGCCCCTGGGACACTGACTTCATCCTGCAGCCCTGAACGAGCCCCTCACAGCCCTATAAATATCCCTGAGCTGCTAAAAATACATCAGTGTGCAAGGTAACATTTCCATAGCCCGTCCCCTGACAAGCTGCATCTTCATTCCTGAAATGAATCTGATGTCCCTCCTTGGAAGAGAACAAAGGGTAGGGATGGTGGTGATAATTTTGGGTATCAGGAATTTGGGCAGAACACATGGCTAAATAAATGGGATTTTTAAAAAAAACAAAAAAAACACCCAACCAAAACCTACGTGAGAGCTTTTAAAAAATCAAAACTCAGGGAAACTTAAGACCACATGCCTTTGTTTCTAATGCATAAGTAGTTCCTGAAGTCTCAGGGTTTCCCAGGAGAATGTGGGTGTCATCCCCACAGGTGCACTGCAAAGGCAGGTGTTTTCAGCTGGGCAGTGTTCAATCCAGAGGAGACTGATCATAACTTAAGGTAATGAACTAGAAAAATCACACTGCTCTGAGGTTCGTCTGTGCTGCAGAAAACTGTTTTTAGGCTCTGTGTGTCTGTGCTGGGCTCAGGACTTTCCCCTTTCCTCAGGTTTGGTGTAAACCATGAGGAATGTTTGCCAACAGCCTGTGCAAAGCATCCTTCCTGTGGGACTTGAGTTGCTGGAGTGCTGTAAATGGGAAAATGATGCCTGGGAACTTGCTCACTGCTTCTAGACAAAAGGGCCTTTGAATTATTTGGTGCAGGAAAGATATGGAGAAGTTTTTAAGCACTGTGGACTGAAGAGTAACCACATGGTCTGGAATCATTTTTGAAGCCCAGGACTGCCCACAGCAGGGGTTGAAATGATGATCTCTGAGATCCTTTCCAAGCCAAACCATTCAGTGGTTCTGTGCTGACTGTTAGAATTGTCCAGCAAACACTGCTCCAGATCAGACCCTACTCAAAACTCCCTGTGATTTTAGTTTTGCCTAGTGCTTGGCCTCTTTTTCAAAAGCAGGGGGGTTTCTTGTTGGTTTTTTAATGACATCTCAGTGTTTTTGTCAGCTTTCCATCTCTGGCTTCCCTGGAGAGAGAGGGAAGTTCCTCACAAGAACCTTCTCAGTGCCCAAGACCTGAATACAGCCAGGGGCTGGGAACGGCCCTTCGTGCCCACACGTGATCTCTGGGGCTGGCAGGAACCTCTGGAGATCATCTGGTCCAACCCTCTTGCTCCAAGCAGGGTCAGAGTGCTCAGGACCACAGCCATCTGGGTTTTTGGAAGTCTCCCATGATGGAAACTCAACCACCTGTTCCAGTGTTTGCCCACCCACACATTCTTTTTTCTTTTTTTCCTGGTCTGTGCTGTGTTTTCTGGGTTTTGCCCTTGGTTTGTTTTGGACATGAAATAAAAATACTATCTTGGTCTGAGAAGAGGTTAACAGCAGCATGAGAACAGGCCACAAGGAAGTAGCACAAATTTAGTGAGAACAAAGTGTTGTAGCTGCAGTGTTCCCAGAAATAGGGAGATTTGTTTTCCTCTCCCGACTTTTTAACTGGTGCGTTGTCCCTGCAGCCACTTCTGGACTGCAGAGACACCAGGCACTAAGAAAACATTCTGTCAGCTCTCACTTTCTAGGAGTTCTTCATGTTGAAAAAGTAAATTGCTTTGCCAAAATAATACAACTTGATTATAAGGGGAGTGAGAAAAGGCTGCTGTGAGGGACAGGCTGACCCCTCAGCGGGTGCCTCCTCTCTGACCCACAGCCCCGGGGTTGTGTTTGTCTTCTGTGGGTGCTGAAGGACTGGGCTGGCAGCAAACGTGCCTGAGTTGGGAATCAAAGGTGTGATCCCAGCCTGTCCCCCTCAAAAACACGCCACTGCTGACGGAAAACACGAATCAAAGGGCAGGTGTCTGTGCTGGGTGTCACCTGCATGGAGCTCTCCAGGGACGAGGCTTCTCCAGCTGTGCAGTGAGGAGCCATAAACAGCCCTGTGCAGATGTTCCACTGATCCTCAGCTGGAACAGCCCAAACTGCATCCCCCTGTGAGCAGCTTCCTGTGAACAACCATAACACTTCTGCACTTTCTTTTTGCTGCAGTTCGGGCTGTGCTGCTTCATGATCTTTTGACAAAGGAAATAGCTCAAAAAAAAAAAAAAATCAAGTTGCTACCAGAAAACCCCAAAATTCTCAGATCCGATCATGCTGTGTACCAAAAGTGACATTAAAAATGTGAATCCTTCACTGTGAGAGGGAATTCTTCACTATGGGGTTGGAACTGGGTGATCTTTAAGGTCCCTTCCAACCCAAATGATTCCATGAGTCAGCCAGAATAGAAAAATTATGCTTTTTACCAGTCTGCTTTCAGTTCCTTATTCTGCTGTTCACGTGTCTCTCTGCTCTGCTTTTACAGGTGGACTGTTAAAATTAGACTTCTAAGCACAAAAGCCTTTTGCTGAAGCAAGGGAGACAATGCTGGACCCAGGTGACTGGAACATCACCCAGCAATGTTCCTTCTTGTGCCAGTACTGAACAGCCAGTCTAAAAATCCACAGGGGAGTGCTTTTGTGGTGGGGAAAATGCGTTCAGATGGAGGGAAGCACAGCTGGAAAACTCTGGCCTCCTGGTGGAGAAGGATGCAGGAATCCTTTTCGTGTAGCCTGTGGAAAAACCCCCACATGAGTGGCTGGAGTGACCCATATCTTGCCTCTCCTCGGGGCCATCCCACTGCTGTCCCTCCTGAGCTGACCAGCAGTGCAGTGGGAGCTCTGCCTCAGCTTGGCACAGGTATGATGAGAATGGGGTTTTTTTCCCCATTGTCAGTGGAAAACTGTTACAATAACAGGGTGATTTTGGGGTGTGTGATGCTTTGTGATGCGACAGCTGGGAACAGGGTTTGGTGCTGAACACTGTGGTGCTGAGTTAACAGTTGGACTCGATGATCTTGGGAGTCTTTTTCCAGCCCTAATGACTCTATGATTAGTGTTTCTCCTGTCCTCAGGCCTTTCCTCTCCAATAAACCCCCGGCAGGTTGCTGAGCAGCTCCCTCCCTTGGGGCAGGCAGGTCTTTGTGGTGAAGAGGCTGAGCAGGGCTGGCATCATCGTGGTCAGACAGTCTCTCTGACCCCAGGCTGAGAAACCACTTGCTCTGCTCTTTGCCTTGGCTCCCCCAGCCCTTGGCCATTCCCTGCTCCCCAGGGGAGCATAAAGAGAAAATCCAGTTGGGATTCTGGGTTGCTTGGATACTGCGTGAACTGAGGGCGAAATAAAAATCATATAAATAGAAAAATGCATCTTCTGGAGTCCCCCCCAGTCTCCTGCCCCCCTCACCTAATTAACCAACTGCTGTGTCTTTCCTTGGGGCAGTTTTTGTCACCTCAAGCTGCTGCTCTTCCCATGTCCTCACTCAGCTGTTCTCCACAGGGCCCTGCAACTTCTGTCCCTAACTGGTGTGGCTTCCAGTTGGCAAATCATCCCTCTTCCAGCACAATTCCTCCCTCCCCTGCAAGGTCCCTGGGTGGTGCCTGAAGAGCAGGACCCAGCTGCCATCCCCTTCCAGGGTTTTCCCTGCACAGGCTGCTCCTCAGAGGAAGCCCGTGGTGTTGACAATGAGGTGTGCTCATTCTTAGCCTTATTTTGCTATTAGATTACATGTTATTTATAGAGAGGGAGATTATCCATCTATCTGTAACCTTTATTGCTTCCTTTGAGTCGAGGTTTACGAGGTAAGACTGAGGAGTCCGTGGAAGTTACAACTGTGACTGTGCAGATGCAGCCATGCAGTGATGCCCAGGGTGTCTGTAGTTCTGATGTGAGGTGAAGTGTTTGACAGGGTTGGGCT